TTTGAACTATCCTCTCACCCATATCCCTCTTGCAGACACTAGATTACTGAAGACCCAAGAGAGGTTAATCAGCCTCCTCTCTGTCTAGAAGGTGTTATAGTACAGGAAGGCAAAGACACACTAATAGAAAAAGAAGGATCAGTGTTTCCTACTATATGCAGAGAGATGTACAGGGATTTCTCCCTGTCAGCAAGTTAACATTCAAGTCTTCAGGAAAGACGATCTGTAATTCAGATCAGTTTGGAGCTCATATACCATGTGAACTGCACTAGCATTCTCTGTGCCCCATCCTGGGGCAGTTGTTAATTATTCAGTTTCAAAACTTTCTAAGGGCTCACTAACCATGTGTGAGAAATGCCTGACTGCAGGCTGGAGTCTCTGAAACCAATAATTCCCAAAACTTACCTTACATTTTTAGATAGACAAGTCTACTACCACTGTAGAAACTTGGACCTCACTCTCTCCTCTTTCCTCCTATATGTATACACACCAACATAGGTATATGTCAAAAAAAAGTTCATAGAACATGTGTGTGTGTGTACGTGTACTATGTATGTTACATGCTTAAAGGCAAAATAGCTGTGATGGCATGTGCTTATAATCCCTGTTCTTAGGTGGTAGAGGCAGGAGGATTGTGGGGAAGATGGTGTACCTAGTAAGTTCAAGGCTAGCCTGAGCTATACAGTAAGGCCCTGCCTCAAAACAGAAAGGGTAAGGGATGTAACTGGATGGCAGAACATTTGCCTAGCATAGATAAGGCTCTGAAATTGATCCCCAGCAAGGACGACAAAGAATGAAGTAACTAAGCAGTAGTATAAAAATTGTTAGATATGTTAAAATTCACGAATATATTTCTCGTGTGACTGTGTGGGAAACTGTCTTGAAACATTCCATAGGGAAATAACATGAAACAGGCATCCTTAGCTGCGGGGTTTGCAGTTTTACTACTTACTCCTAGGACGTTTGGATTGCGTGACGTTATATTAAATTTGGCACCTCGCAGGTGGTCCCTGAAGCTAAACTGGTGCTTATTCCAATCATTTGCTCAGCCCTGTTGAGTTCAACATCTGTTTGCAAAGGTGCTCTGTGTGTGTGTGTGTGTGTGTGTGTGTGTGTATGTCTTGAGCCATAGTGAGCTCACCTTTCCCTTCTTGATACCCTTATGCCTTATGTGGTCTGTCTTTCTCTGTCAGGCTTTCAAGTTAATTGTTTCCTGTTTCTCTGAGTCTGTTCCTTATCCCCCTCTCAGACCACCCTCCACACACTCCTACCCCCACCCTCTCCCCAGCACATGGGTCTTTGTCTCTTGGCCTGCCCTTGGGCACCCTCTGAGAGCCTTGGAGTTAATTTCCAAGTAGAGCAATCTCAACACAAAAATATGCCATTCTTGTAAAGCCAGAAGTTGCTTTCCATGTTTCTAGATTTTTTAGCGAGTCTTTGTTATGTACTGAGAGTCTTTATTCTCTTAATCCCTGAGTGCTGAGGTTTTCTGTGAGATCTCAAGTCTTTGTGACTGCTTGAGCTCGCTGGCATCCCTCAGACAGTCACTGTTCCCATAGCTTGCTGTCCCTAGTGACACTTTTCCTTGGCTATCTCTCCCATTCCTCTCATGAGTGTCAGAGCCTGCTGACTTCGGAGTTGCTGCTAGAGTGCCAGATAGCTCACAAATACTTTATACACGCAGGGAGGGGAGATGGGGGCGGGGCTAGAGACAAGTCTCAGTGGTTCAGAGCACTGGCTGCTCTCCCAGAGGACGCAGAGCTCAATTCCCAGCACCCACCTGGTGGCATGATCACAACTGCCTGTGACTCCAGTTCTAGGGTCATGCATTCATTGCTGCCTTCTGGCCTCTCTGAGCAGCAGGCATACAAGTGGTGCACAGACATACACGTAGACAGAATACTCACATACATAAAAGTAAATAATTTAGCCTTTAATCCCAGCAGTCAGGAGGCAGAGGCAGGTGTATATGTGAGTCCAAGGCCAACCCGATCTACAGATCGAGTTTGAGGACAGCCAGGGGTACACAGAGAAACCCCTGTCTGGAAAACCAAACATACAAATAAATAAAGTTTAAAAAGCCACTCCAGGTTCTGAACCTTTGCTTCCTTATCCACACACTCAGAAATCTTACCTAACTAGCTGTTTACAGTCTGGCCTTCCTTTCTCAAATTCTTTTCTCTGTGTTAGCTCTCTCACCTAGTCTTGCTGACACTGTTCATCATCCCCCATTCACATCTCGGTTTTTCTCTCCTACCTTGCCTTGCCACCCCATGAGAGCACACACGCACACACACGAGAGTTCTTTTGACAGCTTTTACAGTCTATAGTTCCCTGGCCATCTATTTTCAGTCCACTACAAAGTAAAAAAGGAAACAAACCAAAAAGCTCTCACAAAACTGAGAATAACTTAGTGGCAGTGTGCTTGCCTCATGCATGAGACCCTGAATTTCATCCTCAGTACCTTAAAGAGGTGGGGGAAGCCCTTGACTGGGAATATATATGTCTGTGCATAGTGTATATGTACACATTTAAAGTGAAAAGTGAGTATAAACACATGAAAGGTGTTCAGTTCTCTTTGGAGGAAAGGAACATCTCAGGTTCTACCCATTTGTTAGTAATGCTGAATGCATCTCACTCTGCAACCCAAATCTGTATCTTTTTCCTGTGCAGCTTAAGCAAAGAAAAGCCTTGATGTTTATTGAGGATTTAGACAACTACTTCCCAGTTAAGGAGAGATTTTTTTTTAAAGTTGTGCTTTCATTATGACTCCATTTATTGATCAAGGGATTTCTTGCCTCACTTAACTTCATAATCTGCTGATCAGATTAAGAAAATGTGAAAACTATTGTTTGGCAGCATGAGTAGAGACTTTAAAGTGATGGTTTGGAGGCTGGATGATTCAAATACAATCCAAGAAAAGCGGCTAATTGATCATGCAGAATGTGTTTTTATGCTTTATTCTTTTTATGGACTGAGCATGCAATGAAACGAATCATCTTAAAAGTTTTGTGGATGTGCTGTTATGGAAGCAGGGACTTCCTAGTGTAGAAACAGCCAACAGAAAGTACTACATCAAGGAAGGGACAGGAAATGATGTACAGAAAAAGGCATAAACATAAGTCATTATTCAACATATTTTCAGCACCTATTATGCTTTTTTAATGTATCAAATAATACATATAAGCAGCACAATGAATTCCCCGTCATAAGAGGCAGAAAAGTGCCCTTGATTTTGGTACTTCTGTCCTTACAGCTTTCCTACCCATATACAGCTGTGTGTTCTGGGAAGACCTGTGTTTACTCTTTACCTCCTACCTCCCTTGCCAGCTTATTGGTCACTTTATTCTCATTAATTCTTCCTCTTGAGAGCTACCAGGGAAGAGAAAAGAGGTGAACTTTGGGTCAGTCTAGTGTGCTTAGAAACAGAAGCAATTCAGTCTCAGTATAATAAATTTGTAAGATCTGTTTAAATTTTTTTGTGTGTCATTTAGGAATTTGTTCTATCCAACTGAGGGAACATTCCTCTTAATTAAATCCTGAACATCTTAGAGATTGATATTTTGTTTATTAACAAACATTATAATAGGAATTTTTTCAGTCTCTGGAATATTTTATTTAGCTCTTTTGAGACAGGATCTTGCTACACAGTCAAAACTAACCTCAATCTATCTCTCTCTCTCTCTCTCTCTCTCTCTCTCTCTCTCTCTCTCTCTCTCTCTCCTTTGTATAGCCCTGGCTGTCCTGGAATTCACTCTATAGACCAGGCTGGCCTCTAATTCACAGAGATCCGCCTGCCTCTGCCTTCTGAGTTCTGGGATTAAAGGTGTGCACCACCACCACCAGGCTATTTCTCTCTTTCCTTAAATTTATTTCATGTGTGTGTATGACTACAAAAGTCCCAGGATGACTCGCTGGATGGCATCAGTTCTCTCCTTCTGCCATGCGGCCGTGAAAGCAAGTTCCTTTATGCCCTGAACTCTCACCATAGCCACGGCCTCAGTATCTTCAGTCTCCCAAGTGCTAGGATTTAGGCCTTCCCTACAGCAATAGGCCTGTTCCACACAAGTCTGTCTGAAGGACAAAGGAAAGGGAACCATGTATTTGTACCAATTACATGACAGAATCTAAACATGTTTACATTGCTGGTTTTTATGGCTTAAAATTACCCAGAGAAGTGAGTAATATACCCATTCTATACACAGGGAGTGTGAGACTCAGAAATACTGTCTGAGCAGTCTCTCAGCTTACAAAGAAAACCCAGACTAACCAGTTGCCTTCAAAGCACCGGCCCTTGACAAATGAGGAATAATCCGTACAAAAATCCCCAAAAACATCTATTTGCAGGGACTTCAAGGGAAACCCATTACAGACAAACGCTTTTACTGAATAAAAAAAAAATCTAGATCAATGGTTGGGTGTCCTCCCTACCCTGCCCTTAGTGGAGTGGGGGGAGGGGCAAAAGCATATTACTGTATACAAGATCCCTCACAGAACGGCCAAATCACAATGAACAGAGCAGATTACTGAGGAAATGGTGACAGCATTATGGCACTTTGGCCTAAGATGATAAAGTGACTGTAATATTAGCGCAGCTGTGCACTTCCTTAAGCACAATCGTGACAACTGTTGGACAACCTCATTGCAGACAGCTGCAGGCTCGGATTTACTTCTGCAAACCTCACCCCTACCCCTCGATCAGGCGGGTGTCGCCAGTTGTCGTAGCACTAGCCACAGTCTCCCCTTTCCCACTCCCACGCACCCGCCAAGGCCGGCGCGGCCCAGACGCAGAGGCGCGCGCCTTAGGCGCACGTGACGGGTCTGGGGAGGGCAGTTTTCATTCTCCCCTCCCCCTTCCAGAAACCCCCGCCTTCTCCTCCTAGGACAAGGCTTTTAATTGGGTCACCACCAGAGTGACCCCCAGGTCAGCCAATCAAGACGCGGCACCTCAGGTAAGGCCCGCCCCCTGGCGGTCCTCAGGTTCCTTCCCGCTCACACCGGAGTCACTTCCGAAGAGAGAACCGCCATGAAGAGAGTAGGGGGTGCCGCCCACCTCTGCACCGACAGCCTCCCCGAGTCCCAGCAGCAAGACGGCAACCACGCACCCAGCTTCTCCATTCACAGCTCATGCCGCCGTCGCCAGCGGCGCCGACATGACAAGGCGCTGCATGCCCGCTAGGCCAGGTTTCCCCTCATCCCCAGCCCCAGGGTCGTCGCCCCCGCGCTGCCATCTGAGACCCGGTAGTACCGCCCCTGCTGCAGCGGGAAAAAGAACAGAAAGTCCTGGGGACAGGTACCGTGCAGAGGGCTTGAGAAGGGGCCGGGTCGCGGGGGCACGGGTAGAAGGGAGGACTGCGGACGGCTGCTCTTCAGTTCCCGCCATCCTCAGCGAGCTCAGGCCTTGATGTTCTGGGGCCTGCAAACCCTTGCCCCGCCTCCGCGCGGGGGCTTCTGGGAGTTGAAGTCTCCTTTTCTGTAGTTGGGATGTTGCTTTTGGTCTAGTGACCACGGTAGCTACGGAGAGCTCGCCTTAGGTAGAAGGTTATTTTTATTCTTTTAGAGAGCTTGACCTGGGACCCTCCCTACTCAATGTATCTATTTAGATCGTTCTGATGTGGTGGTTTCTACACTGCGTGAAATTATGTAAGATGTGATAAGGAAAACCCACGAATTACTTTATAGTACAGTGTACACGATCATTCATACTAAAAAGATTTTTGGAATGCGCCCGTTTTCTCCTTGAGTAACTTTCTGCCTCTCCAAGAGAGCTTTCTTTTCCTCTTTATTTTTTCCTCTCTCTCTCTCTCTCTCTCTCTCTCTCTCTCTCTCTTTTGTAAAGATTTTCTGGGAGCTATGTAATGATGGAGAATTTCATCAAATGACATCCTCTGACAATAAAACATACTTAAATTATCTATGAACTTGGTACTGTCTTTTTTATTTTAATTTTTAAAAGTAACCCGGTTAAAAGTAAATATGCTTTAAAAGTATTGTGACACAGACTCACAATCCTTTATCTTAATTCTGAATGCCAGAAAGCTATGAAAAACAAACGCTTCCATTAAGTTTTTTACCACAGCTTATTTGGCAGCTGAGGCAGGCTGGCCAGAGTTAATGCAAGGTTGTGAGTGGCCTTTATTCTACTGGTGTCATAAGCTTTGCTGGAGAAATATTAGTATGTTTGGCTACAGGTTATAACACCAGACCATGCTGGGGGCCGTACATAATACATTCAAATTATTTCCTTCCCAAAGTCCAGTAAATCCAGAATTCTAACCCGTTTGGTTCCTGAACTTTCAGATAAAGGTTTGTGAGGCTGTCATAATCTTTTTAACCAGTTACAGAGAAGTTATGGACATTTCTGTGCATTCGAACTTAGGAAGCAATTATTTTTACCTCTAGAAAGTTTCATTTATAGCTATGTGATTTACTTAAAGCCATTCTTCCCTGTCTTTCTAGTGTATTTAGGAGGAGTATTAGGCTTAATGCTTCAGGGAAGAGATATGGCGTTATATTTAGCAGAGCTAGCAGTATTATTTTGATTTGCATTAAGCTGCTTATGGATTCTTTTCCACCTTTCCAGCTACCAATAATAGGGCGTCATTTGTCTTCCCTTTGGAGACTAGCATTTCTTCCTTTACTTGGTGGTGGAGTTAATTTACCTAATGTAATTTACTTTCTATAAACAAATGTATATATTCTCCTTTAACCTGTAACTTTGTCAGAACCATTTAGGTTCTATCAACATACCTTTCGAGTCTTAAGTAAGCCAGAAATGATGCACATTGCTCTTTTCTTTTTCTTTTTTTAAAAATATTTATTTATTTATTATGTATACAATATTTTGTCTGTGTGTATGCCTGAAGGCCAGAAGAGGGCGCCAGATCTCATTGCAGATGGTTGTGAGCCACCATGTGGTTGCTGGGAATTGAACTCAGGACCTTTGGAAGAGCAATCAGTGCTCTTAACCGCTGAGCCATCTCTCCAGTCTCGCACATTGCTCTTTTTATGTGACCAATAAAATGTACAAGATAGAAAGGACATCAGCCTTGGATTTGGATAGCTCAAGCTTTTCACTGAGTTATCAAATCCATCCACAGAGGAGACAACGCTGGTAGCCTACTGCTACTCGCTATCAGCAAAATGGATACATTTTATAAATTTTTTATAACTTATTTACTTTATTTCATGTTCATTGATGTTTTGCCTGCATGTATGTCTGTGTGAGGGTGTCAGATCCCCTGGAACTGGAGTTACAGACAGTTGTGAGCTGCCATGTGGGTGCTAGAAATTGAACCCAGGTCCTCTGGAAGAGCAGTCAGTGCTCTTACCTGCTGAGCCATTCCAGCCCTTCAGTAAGTTATTTACTCAATTTTCCTATACACATAATATCGCTCTTTTATAAGCTGACAGCTCAGTGTGCATGAGTAAGTCAGAGTTTAGGTTTTGGCAATCATTGCTGTGTGCCCATGTTAGGGCACAGTAACCCATAAAAATTACTAAACCAGTTTGGTTTTAGTTTTTTTTTTCCCTTGTTAACTTTCACATCTCTGTTTTTCATTTTAGTTGGGTAGTATGCTATTTTTTAAAAAATGCTTAAGAGGTTTTTTTGATATTTTACTTATTTTTATTTTATGTGTATGAGTGTTTTGACTGCATGTATATCTGTACCATGTGTGTACCTGGTGCCTGGGGAGACCAGAAGAGGGTGTCACATACCCTGGAGCTGAAGTAAGACATTTGTGAACAGCCAAACCCACTCCTCTGCAAGAACAGCAAGGGTCTTAAACACTGAGCCATCTCTTCAGCCCCTTGAACTCTTGTGTTTTTGTTTATATGATTTTTTTGGTTTGTGTGTGGGTGGTGTCCCCTGAGACAAGATCTCACTATGTAGCTCTGACTGGCCTAAAATTCACTACATAGACCAGCCTGATCTCAAACCAATGCGCCCGCCTCTGTCTCCTGAGTGCTGGAATTAAAGGTGTGTGCCACTGCTGCTGGCTAATCTTAAGGAATCTTAGATTTAGAAAAAGAAAAAAAAAACATTTGAAACACAAATTGTGGCTCATTCTAGTTTTTGCTGTTGCTTTGTTTAGACTCATAAATGATTCTGCTTTTGCCTTGCACATTCCTTTCAACTACCTCCCTAGAAACAATCTAGGTGTTGTTTCTCCCATCTGTTACTCTGCTCCTGCTGCAAGAGTTTGTGAAGGTTTATGATCTATCGTCATTACTCACAACTTCCCTAGATTTACACTGCAGTTTTGCCATTCTTGATTTCATTGTCTCAGTTGTATATATCAACTTAGAGAAAATTGGTTATATTTTCAACTTTCTTATGGCTTAGCAAAGTATGATTACTATTGTCAGAACCTGGTTAGTTACATCACAGAGTGGAATCCAGCTGGTATTATGTAAATCTAACATTCACCACTTAATCTAAAGTATTTATGTTTTAATACTTGGTTTTGTGATGCCATATTAGTTGTGCTTTTGTTTTCAGGAAACAATCAATCATAGATTTCTTCAAGCCAGCTTCAAAACAAGGTATGCTTGTTATTAATATATTTTTGATGGGTTGTTTTAGAGGTGAAGAAGGCCTCCAAACTTTGATTATACTGTTCAGAATTGGAAATTGTACAGTTTTAATGAAGATGTGATAAACATTAAGCCATTTGTTCTGCATTTTTAATATTTAAAATAATTCAGTTTATACTGTTGATTTTTTAAAATTTTTTTTTTTTAAATTTTTTTTCCCAAGACAGAGTATCTCTGTGTAGATCTGGCTGTCCTGGAACTCATTCTGTAGACCAGGCTGGCCTTGAACTCATAGATCTGTCTGCCTATGCTTCCCAATGTTTATATTATTTTTATTCTCTAATACAGTAGCTCACAAATGGAGCCATAGGGAGGTTAGATGAGGTAGCAGAAGGGATTCATGAATGTAAACTTCATAAAAGGTAAACCTATTTCTTAATTTCTCTCTCTTCCAAAATGTATTTTATTACCCAAATATCAATTGACTTGAATTTTTTAGTAGCTTCAATAATTTATAAATTGATAGTTAAATAGTAATAGAAACATTAGTTTATTTTTAATAACATACAGTTTGTATGTGTTTTAATTGTGGCTGTTTTAGACAAACATATGTTGGATTCTCCACAAAAATCAAACATCAAATATGGAGGAAATGGAGTATCCATCAATGGGACAGAACAGTTTGAAAGGAAATTATCGTCACCAAAAAAACCCAAACCCAAAAGAATGTCATCAGAAGAAAGTCCTATTTTAGAAGCTTTCATGAAAGGTGGTAAAGAGCACCACAAAGATCATGGTGTACATGAGTCACATCGGCCTTGTATGTCAGTAGGCTCCAAATACTTACTTAAAGGAGCAGGTATGTATGCTCCTTCCTCTTATCGATTGTCCAAAGAGATGAAGGCACGCAAGAAAAAACACCGGTCTCCAGAGAGAAGGAAGTCACTGTTCATTCATGAAAGTAACAGGGAGAAAAATGACAGAGATCGAGGAAAGACCAGTGAAGACTCCAGAAAGCAGGCCCAAGTGACAGAAGGTGACATCTTCAAGAACAGCTCCAGAAGCGTTAGTAGCAGAAGCAGTCTGTCCCGGCACCACCCAGGAGAAAGCCCCCTGGGAGCAAGGTTCCAGTTGTCATTAGCTTCTTACTGCCGAGAACGGGAGCAGAAGAAGTTGAGAAAGGAACAAATGGAGCAGAGAATCAACTCAGAAAATTCTTTCTCAGAAACAAGCAATCTTTCCTTAAAATCCTCTAGTGTAGGGAAAAAATGTAAGCCAAGGCATGAGCACAGCAAACAGAACGATGCTGTACCCGGGAAGAGTAATCTGTCAAATCTGGTATGTACAATAATTACTGGGTTAGCTTTACCACTGCTGTACCTACAGATACTTAGTAATCTGTAACAGTTAAGGAAATGCAGGTACATAATTTAGGCTGACACTGAATTCATTAGGTTTCCTCCAACTCCCCTACATTGAATTCAGTAAATTTCTTTACCTTAATTTTTTCAGACTAGGAGCAAAGATCATTTCTAGTGGAAAGTAAACATTCAGGCAAGTATAGTCATTTTTTTTTTTAAGTTAAGATTTCTACATCAAGAAACATAATTTTGGTGTTAGGAGAGAGGCACATACCTGTAATTCTAACACTCAATAGGCTGAGGGAAGAGGATTGAAGGAATGGCAAATATAAAAGAACAAGAAGCAGTTTAGAGCAGTGGTTCTTAAAATGTCCTCGGAGCAGTAGTAGCACTAGCAGCACTTAGGAATTTGTCAGAAATGCAGTCTTTGCTTAGAGAAACAGTGGAGTTGGAGCCCAGCATTTCTTAGTTCTAAAGCCGTCAGCATAACTGATGCACTCCAAAAGTTCAAGAATCACTGTTCCAGATATATATAAAATCTTTGATTTATTATTTTATTTAAACCTGTATATGGAGGTACCCATAGAGGCCAAAAGAAGCCATCAGATCCCCTGGAGTTGGAGTTACTGGTGGTTGTGAGCTGCCTGATATGGGTGCTAAGAACTCAAGTCCTACAAGAGGACAAGAACTAATAACTGCTGAGCTATTTCTCCAGCCCCATAAATAAATCTTTGATTGGGCATGGGTCTTAGAAACATAGTTGATGACTTAGAAAACTACATGTATTTTTTAGTTCTTACCATTTTTCTTTTGAGAATACAGACTCAGATTAGCATCTCTTCCCTAGAAAATCAACTACACTCTTTGTAACCTAATCATTGCTCAGAAACAAACAAACAAACAAACAAAACATATTTACCTCTGAGTATAGATGCTTGCTTTATGGTCTAGAAGTCTGTTCAAATGTAAGCTCATATTTTTTACTTCCTCATAGGAAAATGGACATCTCTCAAGAAAAAGATCATCTTCAGACTCATGGGAACTTTCAGGTAGGTAGCATCAGATTTAAACATAGAATTTCTAAGTAAGTTTGAATCTTCTTCATATCATTTTTAAAAATAAATTTATTCAAATATTCATTTCCCTTCCTAGAATTAAATGTCTCAGATAATAAGAGTTTTATAAAATTACATCCCAGAAGAATCATATTCCAAGCTAGGTATGGCGGCACTCATCTTTAATTTCAAGTACTCAGGGGGCTAAGACGAGGATCTAGAGCTTGTAGTCAGCCTGAACTATATTGAGTAAGACCTGACCTCAAGAAAAAAGTGCTTGAATTTATTCTATATAATTTGTTGTCTTGATTTCTCTCTGCCTTCTTCAGGAGTTCTTAATAGTGTGTTTTAGCAATGTATTCTGAATCCTTGGCTACATCAAGAAACATAATTTTGGTGTTAGGAGAGAGGCACATACCTGTAATTCTAACACTCAATAGGCTGAGGGAAGAGGATTGCAAGTTTGGGACTAACTTGGGCTACAGTGGGATGCTGTCCGGAACAAATGAACAGCAGCATATTCTTGTATTCTTGTATACTGTTGAGAATGCTTTGTATGAAGTTAAAACAGTATCCAAATATTCCAAATACAAAGAGGACTTTCTAAAATAACATCTCAAGGACATCTTTAAGATATTAATACTTTAATGTCTGTTCATTGAGAAGATATATCACAAATAGGTATTGTAGCTCCGGAATTCTTTTGTCTGTTTTGGTTTGGTGTTTTTGTTTTGTTTTGTTTAGTTTTTGTTTTTTTGAGATGTGGTCTCTCTTTATAGCCTTGACTGTCCTGGAATCCTGTGTAGACGACCTTGAACTCACAAAGGTGTACCTGCCTTTGCCTCTTCAGTTCTGAAATTAAAGGCTTGCACCACCATAACCACCTAACTCAGGAGTTCTTTAAAGTATCTTTTTTTAACAGGAGAAAAAAATAGAACATTTTTTAAATTTAAACACTGAAAGTGAGCCCTGATAGAACCTGGTTTAGTGTTGTGCAGGGATCTGGGAAGCATCATTCATGTTAAATCTCTTTTGCCTACAGAAGGATCTGAAGCAATTTGAGATGACAACTATCTATAAAAAGATATAAGTAGGGATCCAGAATTACAGTATTAAAAAAATTTAACACTAAGCCGGGTACATGCCTTTAATCCCAGCTCTTGAGAGGCAGAGGCAGGCCTGGTCTACCGAGTTCCAGGACAGGTTCCAAAACTACACAGAGAAACCCTGTCTCATCAAACCAAACAAACAAAAGATAATCTGTTTAACTACCTCAGCCTTGGTTTTTAGTCATTTGATTTCTCTTCCTGCATTGTTTTTGTTTTGTTCTATTTTGCTTTTTCTAGACAAGGTTTCTCTGTATAGTCCTGGCTGTCCAGGAACACACTCTATAGACCAGGCTGGCCTCAAACTGCCTTTGCCTCCTGAATGCTAGAATTAAAGCCATTCACTGCCAACGTTGGGCAAACAAATAGCTATTGAAGTGTTTCTGGTTGCAGTTGTTAACGAACACAGGCATCTGTAATAAAGTACCCAAGCTCGGGTAGCTTCAAACAGCAAAAACTATTACCTCATAGTTCTAGAAAGTTGAAGTCTAAAATCAGTGCATTGATAAGGCCTTCCTCTGATTACTCTGGGAGAAGACTGCTTCTTTACATATTACAGCTTCCGGTATTTGCTTGTAAGCTTCAATATTCCTTTACTTAAAATGTCATCACTCAGTAACATGGTATCTTGCGTATAACCTCTAGCATACCTGTATTTGAGTCTAAATTTCCCATTTTTGTAAGGAAGTTGATCATTCGCATCGACCTAGTTTTAATTCGGGTATATCTGTGAAGACCCTGTTCCCAGTTAAGTTCTCATTCTTTAGTGCTGAACGTCAGTAGTTGACCATATTTGGGGAGACAGCAAAGCCCATAGCAACTGAAACTAGAAGGACATAAGAATTGGTGGTAATCACTAGGTGATTTGGATGAGTCTATTTATGGGGTTAGTTTTTGGTTTGGTGTTTTTATGTTTTTGTTTTTTAATGTAAAAGGAAGAAACAGGCTGCGTTCCCGCCTGGATCCCGCATGGCTAGCTTAGCCCCAGAAATAACAACAGACAAATTGTATTCATTTAAACACTGCCTGACCCGTTATCGCTAGAGAGTTAGTTACTGGCTAACTCTCACATCTTGATTAACCCATTTCTAATAATCTGTGGTCGTGGCTTACCGGGAGAGATTCAGCATGTCTGACCTCACAGCTGGCTGCATGGCGTCTGCCTCATTGCCCTCTTCCCAGCATTCTGTTCTGTCTACTCCGCCTATCTAAGCTGCTGTCCTATCAAAAGCCAAGGCAATTTCTTTATTAACCAATGAAAGCAACACATAGACAGTTAGCCCTCCTCCATCATTTTAAAACAGGGCTGTCCAGTTCCCCCCAGCCCCTTCTAGTCCAGACTGACCTTGTATTCACGATCCTCCCGCCTCAGATTCCCTACTGCTGGGATTGTAGGTGTGCACCACAATGCAAGGTAGAGTTTGTTTGTTTGTTTGATTGATTTCTCTCTGTATAGCTTTGGCTGTCCTGGAGCACTATGCAGACCAAGCTGACTTCAAACTCACAGAGATTCCCTTGCCTCTGCCTCGCTCGTGCTGGGATTAAAGGCGTGTACCACAGCACCCACTCTATTTGTTTGTTTGTTTGTTTGTTTATTGGTTTTTCCGAGGCAGGGTTTCTCTGTAGCTTTGGAGCCTGTCCTGGAACTAGCTCTTGTAGCCCAGGCTGGCCTCAAACTCACAGAGACGTGCGCCACCACCGCCCAGCCTCAATTTATTTTTAAATAAGTTATTTATCTGTCTTTTAATCCTATATTTGCTTGTAATCTAAAACCCCCACACTTTTATTTTTAGAAGTAATTTATTCTAGAACCAGGTTGTTTGGGGACTTGAAAAGAATATCCACTTTGAACAGAAGTACTCTGGAATACCCTCATTTAGTGCCATAGTGCCAGTGTACAGAGTCTTAGGTTTAGAGAGCAATACCTCTGGTAAAATAGTAACTTAATAGACTAACAATAACATTGAGCACCTGTCATTTAGCTCTAAATTTCTTGGGCATCCCTTTCAGTTCCCTTTCTTCATCACATAAACATAGTTAATGGTTTCAGTTTAAACATTTCATCAGAGTTCTGTGATTAAGCTTGAGCCAGACAGAACAGTATGCTTTTCACTGATGTGACAAAAATTAATTTTAGGCTCTAAGCAGAATAAACTCTCCGACAAAAGAAAAAGGAACTCTGTGGACTCAGATCTGAAAAGCACAAAAGAATCTATCATACCAAAAGCAAAAGAGTCCTTCCTAGAGAAGCGTCCAGACATATCACATCAGAAGGAAAAGTTTATAAGACACATTGCACTGAAGACACCAGGTGGTGTTCTGCGTTTGGAAGATATAGCCAAGGAACCTGATGAAGAAACAGAGCGTTCTTCTGCAGACTTGGCACCTTCAAATTCTGGCCACCATTCTTCCAGGAATAGTGATCAAGTCCACGCAGCAAGTACCAAAGAGACTAAAATACAGAAGCCCCACTTACCTTTACCTCAGGAAAAATCTGCAATTAAAAGAGCTAGCAACCTTCAGAAAAGTAAAACAGCTGGCTCTGTGCCATCAAAAGAGACAAAACTACCTTTACTTTCCCATGTTCCAAGTGCTGTTTCCTCTCGAGTACCATTAAATGCTAAAAATTGCACTCTTCCAGTTCCTAAAAAAGATAAAGAGCGTTCCTCCTCTAAAGAACATTCTGGGCATTCTGCAGAATCCTCCAAACACAAGGAACACAAAGCAAAGACTATTAAGGCTGTTTCTAATGAATCTTCAGGGAAAAGTTTTGGGGGATCTTTGCATTCAGAGTTCAGCCCTCCTACAGAGTCTCCCCCAGCTGCCTTGGAAGTTGTGCCACGTGTCCCAAGCCCTGCAGCGCCTTTAGATAAAGAGAGTTCAGGAAATTCCAATGCAGGTAGCAGTGCACTGACAAGGAAATTCAGTGGTGATTTTGATAGTGATGAAGAAAGTTTAGGTTACAACTTAGAGAGCGATGAGGAAGAAGAAACATTAAAATCGCTGGAAGAAATAATGGCTTTGAACTTCAACCAGACTCCGCCAGCTTCAGGAAAGCCTCCTGCCTTTTCCAAGGGCCTTAGGTCCCAGTCATCAGACTACATAGTAAGTACTTCTGTGATAATTTGTCTTCACTTGATGGGGAAAAGATGAATTAAAGAAGATAGATTATTAACTTACTTTAAAATTTGGTGTTTACTACTACAACTCATTATTAGACTGACATGGGTGTGATTTTCTCTTGGGTCAATGAGTTCCCCATATCTTATATTTTATTATTGTAAATCAGTGGTCTCCAAACTTTTTTGATCACATGTACTTTTTTATTGAAAGGAAACTTTAAGCATGTACTCCAATATAAATGTAACTTATAGATTCTATACATGTACCACTATAATACTGTGTACTTTTGAAATAAAGTATAGACAAAAACAGAATTTAGAAGGAAAAAGAACAATTAAGTATTTTCCTGTGGCAGTTACGTAGAAGTTACTATAGATTAAGTTCTACTGGAGTTTCTATAGAAGTTCCATATAAATAGAAGTTCTATTATTTTCTTCCTGCACCCCAATGGATCACCTTGCACACCCCCTGCTTTGGAGACCACTGCTGTAAATGAAGGTAGAGTGTAGAAATGTTGTTAATTGTGGTGTGCAATTTTATTTATAAAGTGCTTCATTCTATCTTGGGAGTAAACTGTATTAATTTGAAGATTTCTGTAAAGTTTGGTGGGGAAGGTATAATATTTCATGGTAACACCTAAAAATTAGTGGTAGTTTAATTTCACTAAAATAGAATGCAGAACCAAAGTCAGGGACGCCACAGAGCCCTTGGGTGTTTGCATTTAGATCCAGAGGTTAGCAGGGTTTTACAGGCAGTGTCCCTCCTAATGGATGTTGGAATCAGATTGCCTGCAGTACAGTATACTAGATTTAAAGCATGATGGTGAAATTTTTCCTTTAAGAAGGGTACCATCCAGACTCAGGTTACTGATAGAAAATAGTCATTAGTACTTTTAATAACTTATTGTCCCAGTTCTTCTACTAAGATAAGTTATAAAGTATTTGTTAAACTTTCTTTTTGTTTTAGGAATATTCTCAGAGTGGAACTTATACAAATACTTTAGAGCGTCTTGTAAAGGAAATGGAAGACACACAAAGGTTGGTTAAAATCATAATCTGTTAAATTTAACAAGCTGCTTTGCTTTTGTGATTGGCTTTAGTTTAACTTAAATGATAAAATGGTATATATTGGGCTGGGGATTTAGCTCAAGTGGTAAGTGATTATCAAGCAAGTGCAAAGCCCTGACTTCTGGCTCCAGCACCAGAAATCCCAAGGGAACTAGAAGTTAACATGCATTTTATAGGAGTGCCTTTATTACAGTTTTCCTGTCAACTGTTGTAGAAATACGATGTGCTCTCTTATTCGTGAGATATCAAAAGATAGAGGCTTTACAGTATACCTTGTATTGCATCATTATAAATTCCTTTTTGCTTGTTATAACAGTGTCTTAACTGATATCCTTGAGGAAAAGCATGGGTAGAACTTATGTTTGGTGTGTGTGTGCATGAAAGTGTCAGTGTATGTTTGCTGTGGCCTGCATGTGAAGCTCTGAGAACTCCTTCCATAGTGTTTAGGCAGTCTCCTCAGTGCTGTGTATGCCAGGCCAGCTGACCATGAGCTTCAGGGAGTCTTCTGTCTCCGCCACCCATCTCCTTGGCGACACACTGGGATTGCAGACACCTAGGCTATGCATCCATTGCCCTTTTTTTTTTTTTTTTTAGATAAGAATGTCACTGGGTAGCCCTGGCTGCCTTCAAATTTACAGAATTCTGCCTACCTCTGCCTACTGGGTTCTGGGATTAGAAGTGCGCACTACCACGCATGGCATATGCATCCAGCTTTTATGTGGGTTCTGAGAATTGAGACTCAGGTTCTGATGCTTGTGCAGGGAGCGCTTACTCAGCAGCCGTCTCCACAGCCCTAGTTCAGTTTAGTTTAGCACACTAACATCAGTGTAGCCATCATCATCACCTCCTGGCTCCAGAATGTTCTTTGTCTTCTCAGCTGAAACTCCGTGCCAATTACCATTCGACTCTTCCTCCCTGCCTTTGGCAAGCCACCATTTTTCTTTTTTTTTCCTGTTTCTATGAAGTTGACTGCTCTGGATATGTCATGTGAGATTATTTAGTAGTTTCTTTGTTAGATCAGGAATATTGTACTTAGCATAATGTCTTGTTTGTAGTGAAGATTGGGTTAGAATTTCCTTTTTAAGGTTAACTATTCTGTCTTACATATATGCCACATTTTGTTCATTTAACAATTAATGAATGATCACTTGGGCAGTATCCACTATTTGGCTGTTGTGGCGGGGGAAATGCTATGACAATGTGTGTACCTCCTTTTGGGTATTTTGGGTATATCCCCGCATGCGGACTTAGTGAATCATGAGGTGATTATTGGGAGATTATTATTTGGGAGAGCCACCACACTGTCTTCTACAGCAACCACAGCCTTTCACGTAACCAGAGCCTTTGCCTTTTTTTAATCAGTTAGTTTTTATTGTTGGCATAAAGATAGACCCTTTTCTTGGAATTTTTTTGTTTGTGCTTCAGCAGCACATTGGAACAATACAGAGAAGGTTAACATGGCTCCTGTGTAAGGATGACATACAGATTTATGAAGCTTTCCATATTTTTTAAAAATTTAGCGTCATTTAACTCTGAAAAAACTCAGTTTTCTTACGATATAAACTATTTTGGGTAAGGAACCATTGTTATTCTTTGTTATAAATAAATTGATTCCACTTAGGAAAATAATCTATTTATTTTTGGAGGGTTTTGTTTGTTTGTTTGTTCATTTTGTTTTCTAGTGGCAGGGTTTCTCTATAGCTCTGACTGAAGCTTACTTTGTAGACCAGGCTGGTCTCAAACTCACAGAGATCCCCTGCCTCTTCCTCCTGAGTGCTGGGATTAATGGTGTGTGCCGCCACCACCACTGACAGAAATAAAATTTGAAAAACCATTTTTTTTTTCATGTTTACCAATTTCAAGCATTTTTGTTACTGTTTTCTTGCGTTGGGGGAAGGGTTATTTGCTTAGGCCTGATCTCACTATGTTGCTATGGCTGGCCACAAAGTTTGGATTTTTCTGCTCCTAGTTTTCCCAAATTCTGGGTTTACAGGTGTGTGCACCATGCCCAACATTAAGTATAAAATTTGAAACCAAGATAACTGTACATTTATTCCTATATCATGTTACTCTTTGGAGGAATAGTTCAAAATGATAATAAGCAGCCTACTTTATGTACCTCTAAAAATTGAGGGTCATAATTTCCCTAATGAAATTTAAGTGACTAGCTGAATATAGTGGCAGTTGTTGGAATTCGGGAACTTGGGAGACTAAGGCAGGAAGAGTGCCAAGAGTTCAGTGTCTGTCTCAGTGCTGCTGAGCTTGGCATCTAGATTTTAGTCCCTAAGACTTAGATGGTTAAAGGAGAGAACTGACTCTTGAGTTATCCTCCAGCCTATGTACAAACCTAGTGTGCACAAACATGCACATTTACACATGCAAATAAATGTAATTTTGTTTGTTTGGTTTTGGTTTTTTGACATAGGATCTCACTATGTATCTCTAGCTGTCCTGGAATTCACTATATCCTCAAACTCACAGAGAGATCTGCCTGCCACAGCCTCCTGCATGCTGGGATTAAAGGCATGTGCCACTATGTCTGGCTTAAATATAATTTTAAAAATTAAGAAGTAAATAAAAATTTTAAACAGTGAGCCTGGTGATAAGGATCACTGGCTAAAAATACTTGCTGCTCTTCCAATGGGACTGATTTTGTTTTTCAAAATCCATGTCTGGTAGCTCAGACCGCTTCCAGGAACTCCAACACCCTCTTCTGGTCTCTATGGAAAAACATACGTGTGTGGCACACATATATAAATTAAACTTTAAATTAAAAATTATGTGACTGGTTACAGACTTACTGCTAGTGAAAATAACATATTAATGAGAATAATTTATTCAAAGACTACCCATAAAATGAACCCACAAAACTTCATTTAAAGTTTATTTATTTATTTATTTTAAAAATTCGTTTACTTACTATGTATACAGTATTCTGCCTATACAGGCCTGAAGAGGGCACCAGATCTCAATATAGATGGTTGTGAGCCACCATGTGGTTGCTGGGAATTGAACTCAGGACCTTTGGAAGAGCAGCCAGTGCTCTCAACCACTGAGCCATCTCTCCAGCCCCCTTCATTTAAAGTTTAGCTGACTGGAGTAGGTGAGATGGCTCGGTGGCCTTGAACTCACAAAGATCCAAGAACTGGGGTTAAAGGCATGAGCTACCACTCCCAGTTTCAAAATCAATTTTAAGTCACTTTAAAAGTAAGTCTAACTGCCTACATTATATAAAAGTTAATATATACAAGTCTCAAACTTGTTAAATATATAAGTTAACTATAAAAAAATTTCAGACATTGAGGTTAAAAGTTTTTCCCTCTGAATTTAGAGAAATGTTTAAAATTAAGCATTGATACATGTGGTGGTACACACCAGTAATAACACATAAGTGGAGGGAGGCAGGAAGATCTCAAATGTAAGGCCAGCCTAGGATATATCACAAGACCTAGATATGTACACACATGTGCAGACACAATATGGTAGTAGGGATAATATCTTTCTCAGACCAAAGACAGAAGTAACATTTGGTGTGATGATTGACCCATCAGTAGTGATAGAACAGTTAAGTTTATTGATTGCTTATTTTCCTTTAGTCTCACCAAGAGTTCATGTTTGAGTGTGCCATAGTAAGTGTTCAGTGTTAGGTGTGGTGATAATAATCAGATGACTGTGATGAAGACAAAAACCTAATTAACTTTATCAGGGTGTTGGTCTGCAAGATGTCAATGAGTATTAAAGATTAGAGAAAATAATCAAATTTGATCATTATTTACCATTTTTCTTTTTCTGTTCTCTGGTTTGGACAGATCATTCTTAAATTTCTAGCTGTAAAGAAATATTCAAGGGGCTAGAAAGATGGCTCAGTGACTAAGAGTACTGGTTGTTCTTCCAGAGGACCCAGGTTTGATTCCCAGCACCCACATGATGACTCACCATTTGTGACTCCAGTGCCAGGAGATCAACACCCTCTTCTGGCCTCTATGGGCACTGCGTGCACGTGATTCACAGACATGCATGTAGGCAAAACACATACCCATAAAGTAGCATTTTTTTTAAATAGTGTAATGTTTTGTGGAGATATGATTTGCCCTGTATTCTAACAGAATTTGTTTAAAATAGAGTATATAGTAAGAGTTGTTGCTTGGGGTTACTTTTAGATAACAGCTAAAGTTATCTGGGTTTCTTTTGTGGTGTTTGTTTGTTTGTTTGTTTGTGGGGTGGTCGTTTGTTTGTTTGCTTGGTTTTATAAGACAGGGTTTTTTGTTTGTTTGTTTGTTTGTTTGTTTTTGTGTGTGTACCCTTGACTGTCCTGGAACTAGCTCTTTAGACCAAGTGCCCGGCTCTGGTTGTCTTTTTTAAATAAGTCATAAGTCTGGCCTGGTGTGCATGCTTTTACACCCAGCACTCAGGAGGCAGAGGCAGGCAGATCTATAGAGAGAGTTCTAAGACTACATGGAGAGAACCAGTCTCAAAAATAAATAAATATAAATCGTTTATTAGTGCATTCTTTTAATTTTCAGGCTAGATGAACTGCAGAAGCAGCTACAGGAAGACATAAGACAAGGCCGGGGCATTAAATCTCCTATCAGAATTGGTGACCAGGACAGTACTGATGATGAGGATGGCCTCTTGGAAGAACACAGGTAGTATCTTTTCACACCATCTATAAGCATCTAGTACTATTTATCATTTTTTAATTTGACTTTTATGAAACAGCTGGGCCACTGATGATTGGCTGCCTGGTGACTGAGATACACTTGGGTTTTGTTGGAAGGCAAACATTTAAAGCAAGGCACATAGGCAATGGTGGTGCAAGCCTTTGGTTCCAGTACTTGGGAGGCAGAGGCAGGCAGATCTCTGAGTTCTAAGTTAGAGGCCAGCCTGATTCACAGAGTGAGTTCCAGGATAGCCAGACCTACACAGAGAAACCCTGTCTTGGAAAAAAAAAAAAAAAAATTGAAAACCCCTCACAAGGTACATGATAAATCTTTATCAGTGGTTTTCACTACGAGCTTTAAAGAAGAGGACAAAACATTCTTTTTGAGACAGGGTTTTCTGTGTTGCCTTGGCTGTCCTGGAACTCGATTTGTAGACTGATCTGGTCTTGAACTCACAGAAATCTGCCTGCCTCTCCCTAGGGATTATTGGGATCACAGGTGTGCTCCACTATTGCTCGACTGACTGCCTTCATTTTTAAATACAAAACCATTTGTGTCCTAACTCTTCACTATTCAATGGTCTTTGTGTTTCAGGGAATTTCTAAAGAAATTTTCAGTTACAATTGATGCTATTCCTGATCATCATCCAGGTGAAGAAATATTTAATTTTCTCAATTCTGGAAAAATTTTCAATCAGTATACCTTAGATTTAAGAGACTCTGGTTTTATCGGAGAAAGTGCTGTGGAAAAGCTTATTCTCAAGTAAGTAAATCACAAACATTTTGGGTTTTTTTTCTGTATTAAAAAATTGTTCTAAGGGCTAGAGAGATGGCTCATTGGTTAATTATACTTATTGTGGGGTGGTGGCGGTGTGTGCCCTTAATCCCAGCATTCAGGAGGCAGAGGCTGGCAGATGGATCTCTGAGGTTAAGGCCAGCCTGGTCTACAGAGTGAGTGAGTCTAGGATGGTCAGGGCTACATAGAGAAATCCTGTCTTAGAAAAGAAAAAAATAACACTGCTCTAGTAGACGACCCAGGCTCATGCGTGATGGCTCACAATTATCCATAACTCCAATTCCAGGGAATCTAACAGGCTTCTGACCCTTGTGGGTACCAGACATTTATGTGGTGCACATATATGCATGCAGGGCTATTGAAGAGAATCAGGGTTCTCTAGAGTAACAGTTCTCAACCTGTAGGTTTCAACTTGGCTAGGGCTTGAATGATCATCGGAAAATACAGATATTTGCATTGCGATTTGTAACAGTAGCAAAATCACAGTTATAAAGTAGCAACAGAAGTAGCAACAAAAGTAACTTTGTGATTGGGGATCACAACATGAGGAACTGTTAAAGGGTCACCGCAGTAGGAAGGTTGAGAACTACTGCTCTAGAGGAACAGAATTCATAGACTTATCTGTATATATTGAAAGGGGACTTATTACAGTGGTTTACAAGCTGTGGTCCACCAAGGAAAAGTCCGAAAATCTAGATGTTCAGTCCACAAGATTGGATGCATAATCTGGTCTTCAGTGTGTGCTGGAATCCTGAGTAAGTAGCCTCTAATGCCAGTGAGTGAATGAACTTGCCAGGGAGATCGAGAGTCAGAGCAAGAGGCAAAAAGAGCAATCTTCCTCCTTCCATGGCCTTTACATGGGCTGCCAGCAGAAGGTGTGGCCCAGATTCCCACCTCAAAGATCCAGGTTAGAAATGGGTCTTCCCAAACTAGGCTGTGGTGATGCACACCTTTAATCCCCGCACCCAGGAGATAGAGGCAGGTGTCTCTGTGAGTTCGAGGCCAGCCTGGTCTACAGAGCTAGTTCTAACAGTCAGGATTACACAGAGATGCATTGTCTCAAAAAACAAAACAAAACAAAATGGGGGAGGGTAGAGAACTTCACACTTAAAATGACTTAATTTAAAAAAAATCCCTCACATGTGTGCCCAGCCATTTGGGTTTTAGTTAATTCTAGGTGTAGCCAAAAATAACCATCACAGAAGCTAACACCCATACACAATAAACTAAAATCTTTTTTAAAAAGTTGTTCTTAAAAGCTTCTGATTGGCTGGGACTAAAGGTAGTGCATGCCTTTAGTCCCGACATTCGGGAGGCAGAGGCAGGTGGATCTCTGTGAGTTTGAGGTAAGCCTGGTCTACAAAATAAGTTCCAGGACAGGCTCCAAAGCTACACAGAGAAACCCTGGCTTTAAAAAAAAATAAAATAAAAATTTAAAAAAGCTTCTGGCTGGGGACTAGTAAAAGAGCCTACCTCTGCCTCCTGCATGCTGGTATTAACACCACATCAACATGGATTTTTCTTTTTGTTTACAGTGCTAGAAGTAAAGCCAAAAGCTTCAAGCATGGTACACCCTTATTTTTTTTTTTTTTATCAGCTAAGATTAAAATGAATGTGTAATGGCTGGGCTGTAGCTCATTTGGTAGAGTGATTATGTATCATATACATGGCCCTGGGATTTGATCTTCAGCACCACATAAGTCAGAAGTAGTGGCACCTGCTGTAGCAGGAAGATGGCACGTTTAGAGTCATCCTGAGCTACAAAACAAGACCTTGTCTCCAAAAACATATTCCCAGTACCACAAAAGAGAGGTTCATCAGTGACAAGAGTACTAGCCCTAGTCAGATTGTTTACTTCATGTAGGAAGTCCTGGCTCTGGTATATTGTTTTTGCCATCTTTTTTCTCCATTTGTAGTATCTTATTGCTTAATAGTGGTGATTTTCTGTTCTGATTCCCAGGAAGCACATACACCTTAATTTCTGCTGATTCAGTGAACTTTAGTTTGCCCAGCTAAAATTCAAAACAGGTACCACTGAGAAAGACAAAACACAGACCTTGGGGTGAAAAACTCTTAGGATCGGCCCAATGCCTAGACTAGGATTATTGTTCTTAGTGTGTGACATTTCAGGTGTAGAAACCATGTGGATTCTGGTGCCAAGTTTTGGGAAGTTCATCCCTAAACTGACAAAAGCCCATGTCCTGAGTCTGGTACCTTTGTCTGCAGAGGAGTATGGAGTCCATCAACTGAGTCAGCTAGGCACTCGTCCAACTTATTTGTGACCCTTGTTAGTATTGAATCTGCCTCTGTTAACTGAGGTTTACCTACTTGTTTCTCTGATTATATCAGATGTCTTTGTGCTAGAAAGGTTTTGCTATAGGTAACAGTCATTGATTTTTCTGTTTCCAGATCAGGAAAAACAGATCAAATTTTTTTGACAACACAAGGCTTCCTTACCTCTGCATACCACTATGTCCAGTGTCCTGTACCTGTGTTAAAGTGGCTGTTTCGGGTAAGAGAATGTTTGGGGCTTATAATGGGTTCCTGCTGTATTTCCTATTAATGAACTTCAAGCCTGACAACCTGAGTTCAATTCCCAGGCCCCAGACAGTGGAAGGAAAGATCCACCTCATGAAAGCTGTGCTCTGGCCTCCACATGGAGCATATGTGCACCCCCACACACATATGATTCATTAATGAATGAATGAATGAATGAAATGAAATTTTTTTTAATATTAAGCAGGAAAAATATTAAATTTAAGCAAAAAAAATTAGTGTATTACACCCGTAATTTCTGAGCATAATAAAATGAGGCAGGGAGAGCCATGTTCTCTCTTCATATATGTGTTTATGTATGGTTACATACATGTGAGTGCAGGTGCCTGTAGATGCCTGAAGTGTCAGATCCTGTGGAGCTAAGCTGGCATTACAGGTGACTGAGTCATCAGACTTGGGTACTAGGAACTGAATTCCAATTCTCTACAAGAGCAGTATAGGCCACTCAGCCATATTAGCAGCATGTGTGTGTTTGTATGCGTGTGTATGTTTATGTTTATTGCAAACCCAACTGTTTCTCTTCCTTCTTCATTTAACATATATATATATATCTTTTTTCTCTTTTTGCATTTTTGTTTTTTGTTTTTCTGGTATTTTGAAACAGGGTTTCTCTGTCTCTTTGTATGGCTCTGGCTGTTCTGGAACTAGCTCTGTAGACCAGGCCAGCCTCAAACTGACAGCGATCTGCCTGCCTCTGCCTCCCAAATGTTGGATTAGGCGTGCACCACCATGTGCCCAGCTATATCTTCATTTTTGTTTTATTTAAGTGGTGTTGATTTTATGTATTGCTTTGTTATTCCTCTAGCTATGTTGGCCAGGAATGTAGATGTTTATTACTCTTGACATATCAAGAAGACAGTAATTCAGGATTTAATGCACTATATTTTGACAGAGCTGGGAGGCCATTATTCTCCTTTCAAGAACAAGATTCATGTCACCTTTTTCTCAGGCTATTAGAGTATTCTATTTTAATAAAATTCTGGATGTATAGAAAACGATAGGAGTAAACAGTTTTTAAGTATAAAGGGATATTTTACACTATGCAAAAGTTTGCCTTACTGGCAGAGGAGATGTCTCAATACATAAAATCTTCCTGGATAAGCACAAGAGACCTAAGTTCAGATTCTTAGGACAAATGTGCAAGCCAGGAGTGACAGCACTTGTCTGCAGCTCCAGAGCCGGAAGTGGATACAGGGGAATAAATTCTGGGGACTCACTGGCCAGCTATTCTAGCTGAATCAAGCTTCAGGTTCAGCAAGAGACTCTTTCTCAAAAAGTAAGAAGAAATGGGCTGGGTAAGATGTCTCATTCAGTAAGGGTGTTTGCCTCCAAGCCTGACAACCTAGATGCAGTCTCTAGAACCCATATGGTAGGAGACAGCAGGCTCCAGAGGTTGTTCTTCAACCTCTGCTGGCTTGCCATGACACACATTCATTCCCTCCACACCCAGTAAGTGAAGGTCAGAGTCATACAGGAAGATAGCCAGTGTTGACCTTTGTCCTAATGGGGCCTGTGTGGGTGATTATGCCTTCATGTACATATACACAAAAGTCTTGTCCTAGAAATCCAATCTTCTCTTAAAGACGGTCTTATTATGTAGCCCTCACTGGCCTGGAATTCACTATGTAGATCAGGCCTCCAACTCAAAGAGATCTATCTACCTTACCTGTTATTGGATGGCCTGGGAGGATGAGTCAGCAGTTACAAGCACTGGCTGCTTTTGTGGAGGAGCTCAGTGATACTGGTATCAGAAAACTCTATTACATGCTGTCTTAGTTAGGGTTTCTGTTGCTATGAAGAGACCATGACCATGGTAACTCTTTTAAAGGAAAACGCTTAATTGAGACTGGCTTACAGTTCAGAGGTTTAGCCCATAATTGTCATGCTGGGGAGTATGGTGGTATGTGGACAGACTTGATGCTGGAGAGGTAGCTGAGTGTTCTACATCTGGATTGCCAGGCAGCAGGAAGAGTGACTCTGGGCCTGTCTTGGTCATCTGAAACCTTCAAGCCCACCCCTAGTGACAAGCTTCTTCCAACAAGGCCATACCTCCTAATAGTGCCATTTCCTACGAGCCTATGAAGGCCATTTTCATTCACATTACCACACATATGAACTGAGATGTAGGGGAAACAGCATTTCTACTCTGAGTTTTGAGAGCATGTCAAGGAATCTTATGTTTGGCAAGAATTAGACATTTTAGAATACTCTTCTGTTCAATTTTTCCATGGGTTGATATTTTTTAGTGTCAGCTCTGCCAGATACTGGATAAACAGCACATGAAGCCCATATTCTAACGCGGAAAAAGTAGGGGGAAATGTTGAGTGTACAGTAATTTATTGTTAAGGGTCAGGTATGGTGAAGAAAAGTTGAGAAGACTAAGATAGCTATGGAAAATATAAGAAAGAAGGATTTTATTTATTTTTTTTAATGGAAGGTGATTAATAACGTTTTTGTTTTGGGGCTGGAGAGATGGCTCAGTGGTTAAGAGCTTGTCCAAAGGTCCTGAGTTCAATTCCCAGCAACCACATGGTGGCTCACAACCATCTGTAATGAGACCTGGTGCCCTCTTCTGGCCTGCAAGCATGAATGTAAGCAGAATACTGTATACATGATAAATAAATAAATCTTAAAAAATAAATAAATAAAGTTTTTGGTTTTGGTTTTTTTAGTTTTTCGAGACAGGTTTTCTCTGTGTAGCCCTGGCTTCTGGAACTTGCTCTGTAGACCATGATAGCCTTGATCTCAGTGATCCAACTGCCTCTGCCTCCCATGAACAGGGGTTTAAAGGCATGAGTCACCACTACCCAGCTGTCCTTTCCTTGAAGGCAGCTAATACCTAGTTACTGTTCTTCCTGTGTCTCTGATGACAACTGAACATCTTCTTAAAGGTGCCTTAGTTGGGCCTGGGGAGATGGCTTAGTAGGTAAAATGCTTCCTTCACAATCATGAGAACATAAGTTCAAATCCCAGCAGTCACATAAAAACTGTGCACATTGTAATTCCAGCAGTGCCATGGAGAGGGCAGGGGCCAGTCAAACAGGGAAGGGAAGTTGCTGACTCCAATCTAGGAGAAATAGTGCACTCCAGGTTCAGTGAGAGACCCTATGGTCTCTCTTTAGGCTTATTTGAGCCTGAGCAACATGAGACCCTGTTTCAAAAATGAATTATTAGTGAATGCTGTTTCATGAGTGTAGGTGCAGTGTGAGCATACACCTCTCCTGTCTCTTCTCCACTGCGGTAGGGTGATCCCCTAAAACCCTAAGCCAAGAAAAGTCCTTTCTTCCTTATAAAGAACAGTTAGAGAGTAACTAGGTATGGTAGTGCCACCCATACAACTAGCACTTAGGAGATAGAAACAAAAGGATCAAGAGTTAAAGTCAGTTTTAGATACATAGCTAAAATACATAGGTACATCTGGGGCTACTTAAGATTCAGATTCAAGTCCTCTCCCTAATTAAAAATGTATGAGTTTATTTTTAACTTTGATAACTAATTTGTAATTTGATTTTCCCATGTCTGTGCTTAAATGTAGAGGTCAGGGGTCAACCTTGGATGTTTTTTCTTAAGCACCACCCACTTGATTCTTTGAGGAAAAGGGTCTCTTATTGGCCTGGACTTGCTGTATAGGCTAGACTACATTGTATAGGCTAGACTACATGGCTAATGTCTTCGTTAGGGTTTTTTTTTTTTTTTAATTAATTATTTATTTATTTATTTATCATGTACACAATATTCTGTCTGTGTGTCTGCCTGCAGGCCAGAAGAGGGCATCAGATCTTATTTCAGATGGTTGTGAGCCACCATGTGGTTGCTGGGAATTGAACTCAGGACCTTTGGAAGAGCAGGCAGTGCTCTTAACCGCTGAGCCATCTCTCCAGCCCTCGTTAGGGTTTTATTGCTGTGGTGAGGCACCATGACCACAGCAACTCTTATAAAGGAAAATATTTAATTGAGGCTAACTTATAGTTTAGAACTTTAACCCATTATCATCATGATGGGAAATGTGGCCACACAGGTTGAAGGAGCTGAGAATTCTATGTCTGAATCAGCAGGCAGCGGGAGGAGAGTGACACTGGGCCTGGCTTGAGCTTCTTAAACCTCAAAGCCCATACCCAGCAGTTTCTCCATCAAGGCCACACCTCTTAATAGTGGCACTCCCTATGAGCCTATAAGGGCCATTTTCGTTTAAATCACCACATCCAGCAAGCCCCAGGAATTCACCTCTCTGCCTCACTAGCATGATTAGATATTTTTTGTTTTTTTGTTTGTTTGTTTGTTTGTTTGTTTGTTTTAGAGAAACATAGGTTCTGGCAATTGACCTCAGGTCCTCTTCTTGCACAGGAAACATTTTACCAACTAAACTATCTTCCAGCCCTGTGTGATTTTTACCTATGATCTTCTTAGGAGCAGTGTCTTTATGGTTTGGGAGTGGGAGTTAAAGGGTGTGTGTGTGTGTGTGCACACACATGCACTCATGTGTTGGCTAGGAGTTGACATGGTTATCCTTAGTTGCTCTCCATTTTATTTTTGAGACAGAGTTTTATACTGAATCTGGAGCTCACTTAATGGCTAGACTGGGTTGACCAGCAAGCTCCCGGATTCTTGTGTCTCGATTTCCCAAAGCTGGGAATTTACGAATGCATGCCACCCTGCTGGAGAGAATGGCTCTGTGGTTAAGAGCAGCAGCTGCTCTTCTATAGGACCTAGATTAAATTTCCAGCACCTACATGGTAGCACACAACTATCTAAACTCCAGTCCCGGGGGATCTGATGCCCTCCTTTGGCCTCCATGGGAACTGTATGTATGTGGTCCACAGACAGACAAGCAAAGCAGGCATACACATAAAAGTAACAAATAAAATATAAAACAAAAAAAACAAATGTATAACACTATGCTTGTATTCGTTTGTATTTTGAGATGAGGTCTTACTACTTAGCCCTAGATAGTATGGACTGCTGCTCTATGTAGACCAATCTGGCTTCAAACTCAGGAGAGATCTGCCTGCCTTTGCCTCCCAAATTCTGGAACTAAAGAGGTTCACTACCATACCCAGCCGTACTTGGGTTTTGTTTTTTGTTTTTTTTGTTTTTTTTTAAATTAATGGTGTATACAGTGTTCTGTCTGCATGTATCCCTGCCCGCCAGAAGAGGGCACCAGATCTCATTACAGATGGTTGTGAGCCATCATGTGGTTGCTGGGAATTGAATGCAGAACCTCTGGAAGAACAGCCAGTGCTCTTAACCTCTGAGCCATCTCTCCAGCCCCGTACTTGGGTTTTAGGTGTGTACTCAGGTCCTCACACTTGTTCACCAACACTTCAACAGCTGAGTCATCTTCCCAACCCTCCTTTATGTTTCGTTTGGAGTGGTGCTACATACAGAAAAGTGACTTCTAGTTTCAAATGCTATTTACCTAATTACAAGTAGAAGTTGTAAAACTAAAAAGCAAACACCGGAGTTCAGGTGGCCTGTTAGAATGGAAAGAGGCCTGACCTGAGACTAGACCTGTGTTTGGTTCTACCTCCTATGGCTCTATTAATGAATATATAACCCATTAGTGAAGTATTGTTTATCCATAAAATGAAAACCCTTCTTAAGTTGTTGTGTTAAGTGCACATGAAACTATTTTGGAAGTGGGATGTCACTGCTTTGCCCAGGCTAAACTCATATTCACAATTTTTCTGCCTTATCCTCCTAAGGAGCTAGGATTAAGAACATTCTCTGTATCACCAGACTTAAAGTAGCTTTATATGAGCCTAGCAAATACTAAATTCATGTTTCCTTTCTAACACTTGGTTATGTTTTTGACAGATGATGTCAGTTCACACAAATTGTATTGTGTCGGTACAGATTTTAAGTACATTGATGGAAATAACCATTAGAAATGGTGAGTACATAAACTGATTTGTAGTATGTGCTGTTGCTTATTACAATTGCTTAATGTTAGAATTGTGTTTTTGTTTTGATTTTTGCTGATCCTGGAGATTAAATGTGGAGCCTCATGAATGCTAAACAGGCACTCCACCTGACCTATAGTCCTAGCTCTGAAATTGTTTTTTTTTTGTAAATTTATTTATTTTTATTTTATGTGCATTGGTGTTTTGCCATGGGTGTTGGGTCCCTTGGGACTAGAATTCTAGTTATGAGCTGCCGTTGTGGATGCTGGAAATTGAACCTAGGTCCTCTGGAAAAGCAATTAGTGCTCTTAACCTCTGAACCATCCTCCAGCCCCCATAATCACACATCTTTTTTTAAATATTTATTTATTTATTATGTACACAATATTCTGTCTGTGTGTCTGCCTTCAGGCCAGAAGAGGGCATCAGATCTCATTTCAGATGGTTGTGAACCACTATGTGGTTGCTGGGAATTGAACTCAGGACCTTTGGAAGAGCAGGCAATGCTCTTAACCACTGAGCCATCTCTCCAGCCCATCACACATCTTTGTTTAAAAAAAAAAAAGAAGAAAGGAAGAAATGAAATACCAGTCAAAAACAAGTGTCTGATTTTCTATGGCTTTTTAAAAATATTTATTTATTTATTATGTATGCAATATTCTGTCTGTGTGTCTGCCTGCAGGCCAGAAAAGGGCACCAGACCTCATTACAGATGGTTGTGAGCCACCATGTGGTTGCTGGGAATTGAACTCAGGACCTTTGGAAGAGCAGGCAGTGCTCTTAACAACTGAGCCATCTCTCCAGCCCCCTTTCTATGTTCTTTGAGGAAACAGATCCCAGATCATACAGATGACAATCCTTAATACATGAATTATTTTATAGGATCAGTAGAAATGTTTGGAAACTCTTCTATGTGTTAGAGCACCCAATTAAAAAATATTACTATTTAGGCTTAGTTATTGTTATTGTTTGACACAGTCTCATATAGCTGAGGCTATCTCAAACTAACTTTGTAACCTGGGCTGGCCTTGAACTCTTGATCCTTCTTCCTCAACCTGAGTGCTAGGATTACAAGCATACACCCCTAGGCTCAGATTTAACCAATTGATTTTAGTTTGCCTATGAATTAAACAACAGTATGTGTTAATAGTAGCCTAAGGCAGATTGAAACCATCTATTGTGTGCCGCTTTCTTGCCTTTGAAAGCCCTTTTGATACAAGAAGGATTGTGAGTCAGCCACTCACTTATTTGAGAGATAAAGACCATAAAGCTATTGAATATGATAAAGTCTTACAGTGTTACTGGTAGTTAGGATTTTAACCAGTGTTGTGTCTAATCATTTCAAAATGTGTTACTTGCATATGACTTACACTCTGATGGATCACTCAGGTATTTCCTTTGTATTATTTAGTTCACATGATTTGGTGAGTTATACTGTCTATGATGTACCTTAACTATTTTGTTAACATGCCATTAGCAGCTGTCATTTCTGTGAAATCATTGTCATAAGAGCCAAGTATGGTAACAAATGCCTGGAATTCTAGCATAGGCTATATAGTGAGATTCTTGTCTCCAAAAAAAAAAAAAAAAAAAAGGAAAAGAGTGAAAGAAGAAAAAATGAATGGCAATCATCTGCTTCACAGGAGGACTGTCACAGACAGACTGTCACTTTGCAATGTGCCTTTGTGCAGGAGTGTTTTGAGTTGAAATAATTTCTTGTTTTACCCAGATACTTTCAGTGACTCACCAGTTTGGCCCTGGATCCCATCGTTGTCTGACATAGCAACTGTGTTTTTAAACATGGGCATTGCCTTTGGATCGTTGTTTCCTCTGGAGACTCTTCAGCCAGATTTTAATGAAGACAATCTAATGTAAGTTTTCTTCTCATAGTAAATACCAAAAAGATCTTTTGGGTTTTTTTGAGACAGTATCTTACTCTAGCCCTGCCTGGCCTGGAGTTAGCTATGTAAAACTGCTGGCTGGCCTTGAACTAACAAAACTCACCTGTCTCTGCCTCCCCAGTGCTGGAATTAAAGGCAAGCACTACCTCACTGGGCTCTAAAAGGAATTTGTTAATGTCTTCCATCGTCATTATAATTATTGATTTAATGTATTCACTCTTGACTTAAATTCAAAGCTGAAATCAGTCTGGAAATACTTGCTTTTTTTTAAAGATTTTGTTTGTTTGTTTGTTTTTTGAGACTGTGTAGCTTTGAAGCCTGTCCTGGAACTAGACCAGACTGGCCTTGAACTCACAGAGATCTGCTTTCCTCTGCCTCCAGAGTGCTGGGATTAAAGGCTCGTGCCACCACCACCCAGCTACTTACATTCTTAATATCTGCCCTGATCTAAAACTTGTCATCTCTTTAATGGCGAAATAATAGAAACACTCCTGTATAAAGAGTTTTAAAGTCTTATTATTATTTAACATTGTTTTTACCAGGCCAGCAAGATGGTTGATCAAGTAAAAGCACTTCCCATGCAAACCAGATAACTTCACCTCAGTTCTGTCTTTGAGACACATGATAGAAAGAAGTAATTTGACTCCCAAAATTACTTTTTGGGAGTAATTTTGTGCTCTGACCTCTATCCTGGGGTTTTGGCACCTACACCCAAACTCACACACTACCTACCCACCTCTATACCTAACCCCACCTTCAATAAATTTAATTTTTTAAAAATATTATGCATATTTATTGAGCAAACAGTTAGACAAGAAGGGGGAAACCATAAAATTTGGAAAGAACTTGATAAAAAAATAATTTGATAAATGATTCAGAGTATGCATAAAGGTCTAAGAATCAACTGAGAGACTCTGACAAAAAGGTTTGGTATGGATGCTGGGGAGTAAATTTATAGAGAGAAGCCGATAACCTTCAGGTATCTGATGTCTTAAAAACCTTAAATTTGTATCACTATACAAAAATCCATACCGATGTAAACTATTTGAGACTACCAGTTATTTTTTGAAATCTTAGTGTCTTTCTCTTTATTTATTTATGATTTATTTATTTATTTATTATGTATTCAGTATTCTGCCTGCATGTATTCTTGCAGGCCAGAAGAGGGCACCAAATCTCATTACAGATGGTTGTGAGCACGTGTGGTTGCTGGGAATTGAACTCAGGACCTTTGGAAGAGCAGGCAAAGCTCTTAACCACTGAGCCATCTCTCCAGCCCCCCTACCAGTTATTTTTTAAATCAAAAGTAGACTTAACAATCTATCCTTTTATTATATCACTTCTATACTATATCCCCCCTTTTCCCTTCTGAGATCCCTAAATCTAATCTTTGTTCAGATTTTTTCCTGACCATGACCAATGATAAGCATTCATAATCCACCGAATGACCAAAGACCACCCACCCTACCTTTTGGGAATGTGGGCGTTGGATTCTGTAGACTGTTTCCTGTTGTTTGTAGATGATGGCATCCTTAGGGAATCTGAGAAAATTGGGAAGTGATCAAGTCCTGGGAGAGTTAGCTGTGTTTTTTGTTTGTTTATTCTCTGTGTGATGAGAAAGTGTAGGGCTTAATCTGAAGTCCTGGCTAGAGTAGTGTTTGAGGCTCAACCGTCTCAACTGGCAGCTTTGAAGTAGATCTGGATACAGAATTTTGAGGAAACTAACAGGCATTTTGAGAAGTTGGCTCACCTGGACTCCTTGTCCTCGTTGGTATTTGGTCCTTTTTTTTTTTTGAAAAGCCTCAAACTTTTAAAGGTTATATATGTGTATATGCATATATGTTACACATATGTATACTTCGCATACATTAACACAAGTATGGACATGTGTATTGTATACTAGTCAGCTAAAGATGATTTTCTGTTCTGTTTGAGCAGGTAGAAGGCATCTGTCAATTTTATAAATCTTTTGGACTATATAATCAAACTATAAGTCTCCATGTTGTGAAAGGATGGCATCTAATAATAAGTCATGAGGTCTCTGTAGCCAACAAGATCTATCATGTCTCATCCAGTCTCAGAGCTGTTCCCATAGTAGAGGGATCAGCATATACGTCCTCTATCTTGTAGTCTTTCTTAGTTTCTTTCTTCATGTCTATAGCTAAGATTTTCAGATGGTCTCCCCCAATAAAATCTGATCTTTATTAATTTGAAGACAACAATAACTTTTGTTTTTTATGGAAACAAAGGCATAACCTGTCTCCAGTGCAACACATTTTGTTGACCTCCATTCTGAAGTTAAGACATTATTAAAACATGTAGATTGGTTTAATTTAGCAGTTTTCATAATCCAGTGTCTCTCAGCAGCTATTGCTTTTTGTTCATTAGCATATAAAAAAATTTAAAGTCACTGGGCAGTGGTGGTGCACACCTTTAATCCCAGCACTCGGGAGGCAGAGGCAGGTGGATCTCAGTGAGTTTGAGGCCAGCGTTATCTACAGATGGAGTTCCAGGACAGGCTCCAAAGCTACAGAGAAATCCTGTCAGGAAAAACCAAAAAAAAAAAAAAAAATTAAAGTCAACAAAACACCATACAGGATCCAGACACCCTGTATATTTCCCATCTTTATGTGACTTTTTTCTTTTATATTCCTATATACTCTCTTTAAAGACTTTATTTTTAAATTATTTATTTTTTATGACTGTATCCATTTTCTTTCTTTAGCATCTAAACACTTTTTTTTTGTTTTGTTTTATTTATTTTTGGCTTCTCAAGAAAGGGTTTTACTGTGTTCTGGCCGTCCTGGAACTCATTCTGTAGACCAGACATGCCTCTAACTCACAGAGATCCACCTGCCTCTGCATCCCAAGCGATGGGATTAAAGGCATGCAGAACCACCACCCAACCTAAGCACATTTTTAAACATGTACCTTTTTAGAGATTTTCTGTGTCAGGACCTGGCTTTAGTAAGCGCCTGTAGTATTTTCTGATTACATGAGACAAATCTTAAACTGCCATGTCAGCCACCTTTTGGCTCAGCTAAGTGCATGGCTCTGACACACGGCACTAGTGAATGCCTCCAGCCCATCGGCAGCAGCTAATAGTCGTGCCTCTGCAAACCGCCAAGCCCTGCTGTCTGGGAGACAAGGCTACTTGTGCATAACTTTTCTTAGCTTTTTCAAGCCCTTTGTTAGGATATTTGAGCCTCCATGTTGGATACCATATGTAAAGAGTCTCTTTCCCACCAGCCAGCTCCCAAGTAATGATATGGGGACTTATTTGATTATGAAAGCTCAGCCTATAGCTTAGGCTTCTTTCTAACTGGCTCTTAAAACTTAACCCATGTGTTTTATAATCTATGTTCTATCATGTGACATTACCTCTCTTCCCTCTGGTACCTCCTGTTTCCTCTCCATGTTTCCTGATGTCACCCTCCACACCTTAATTCCTCCTACTGCTTTCTCTCTCTGCCCAGAAGTTCTGCTTGTCCTCCCTGCCTAGCTAGTGACCATTTAGCCTTTTTTAAAACCAATCACAGTGACACTTCTTTACACGGTGTAATCACATATCTCACAACAGCAGTGTGAAGAAGCAAGTAGTGTGTTTGGAGAGCAATATCAAATGTAGTGTGAAGAAGTGACATGTGCTCAGAGGAGTCAAAGACCGGCACAGTAAGGACAGTCTACCGCTTGCAGTTGATATCCCATCTATTCTCCCGCCAGTGTTGTCTTCCTTTTATGTCTGGTATCAGTCTTAAGTTAGTCCTCTCTCCATGCCTAGCCTACCAAACATCTTTTTTCCCTAGTATTTCTTCCTGTAAGACTCTTCACTATTAGAAGAAATCTCTGTAATTTTATATCATGTTGAGTTTATAATTTTACTTACCTATTTTCTATTTTTCCTATTTTTCTCCCTTCTGGAGACAAGGGTCACTATGTTACCTCAGTCTAGACTCAAACTGAGGTCTTCAAGCCTCTGACTAATTTTCTGTTTTATTCTTTAGCACTACCAAATTGATCTGCCTGGTATTTTTTAACATCATTGCATCATAATTGGGAGCCTTTATACTGTAATTACTGTGTGGCAGACACAGTTGAGGGTTTGACATAGTCAAATATTACTAGTAATTCACTCCCATTTTACAAGCTTGGCACAGAAAGATGAAGTAATTTTCTACAAGTTATACAGAGAGGGGGACTAAGATCCACTAAGGAGCTACTTAGAAAAAGAAGAAAACTGGTAGGTGTGGTGGCTCATACCTGTGATTCCAGCACTTGGAAGGCTGAGGCAGGAGGAATGCTATGAGTTCAAGTCTCACTTATGATAAATATGATAAATAGTAATTTCTAGGCCAGCTATGGCTATAGTTGCCCCGTTCTTTTTTTTTTTTTTTTCCCCCGAGACAGGGTTTCTCTGTGTGGCCCTGGCTGTCCTGGAACTTGCTCTGTAGACCAGGGTCTGTCTTCTTTCTTTCTTTTTTCTTTTTTCTTTCTTTTTTTTTTTTTAAGAAGTGTGGTGCCTCATGTTTGTGACCCTAGCATGTAAGAGACTTAAGAATCTAACTTGGGCTACATAGTTCCAGGCTAGTCTGGACTACACTACAGAGTGAGATCATCTCAAAAACAAAAACTGCTCCAAAGCCCAGGAGATATATCACAGAAGGGAGGACAGAAAGCATGTGCAAGTTGAAGGTTGGGAATGGTGCTATGAAATCCTTTCTTTTGGACATGACTTGACTGTTGTATCTGTAAATTTGTGGTGGTTACCTGCAGGAGACTCATGAGAACCTCCCCCCCACCCCCGCCCCCTTCAGCTGTATGCAGTATCTGATTACAAGGAAAGCATGATCATCTTACACTTTGCTATGACCGCTAGTAACAGCCTTGCCCAGAAGTAAGCCCCCATCATGCTCATGCAAGAGCCTCCATCAAAAGAACAAAGAGGAATTCCACATGTGAGTGTGAAGGGATCTTCAAGGTACCATTACTAAGAAAAAAACAGGAAGCTGGAGAATGGTACATAGTTTACCACTATTCATAGTAAAGTGGGTACAGAGGGCCATTGTGAAAGGCTGAAGACATTCTATTCTGACCCAAATGTGTGGGGTTTCCCACCTAAACATCAAAATATGGGGGGGAGGTGTTTTTTTAACCACCAAACCATCTCTCCAGTCCAACTTAAAGAGTTCCTATAAAGGTTCACAAGGATGGTGGATGAAACCATTGACCATTTGATGATCAGTTTGATTCCTAGACCCTCTGGGTGGAACTTAATTTCTAACCCCCTAATCACAGGTTAGTTACTGTGGTCTTCATGAACACCTTATCATCAGTAAAGAGCTCTTACTGGTACATGTAAACAAAGACCAAATGTTCTCAGAGCACAGGGTTCTCTTTGCTTTTTATACATAAGATGTTTGTGGAACGAAGGACTAGAATCAATGGCAGCTGTGGGAGGAGGAAGTAGCTGAAAGAGTACAATTGGGAAGGCAAGTCACTTGATACATCGTGGGGTTTGTTGGTTTGGTTTTGCAAAATTAATATTGTTGGAGTTTTGTTGTTTTTTTTTAAGTAAAAATGTCTCAAAAGTCAAAATCAGAAGCTGCAGACATTGCTCAGTGGTTAAGAGCACATACTGCTCTTGTAGAAGACCTGAGTTCAGTTCCCCATAATCTGTAATGTTGTCTCTGGCCTCCATTGGCACTACACTCATGTGTACAAACACACACACATGTAATTAAAAATAAAAAGTCAAGTTCATGCATTTTTTTTCAGAATTGGTTTGTGAGTATATTATCTGTATGTGGTGCTTATACATAAGTGTGCCTGAACCTACTCCTCTGCATGCACGTCCCTGCAAGGCCAGAATAGTAGTTTGAGTCTCTTCCTAAATTGACTTCCCACCCAATTGCCTTGAGGCAAGGTCTTCTCACTGAAATAGAAGCTAACCCTTCACTTCGACTGGCTAGTAAGCTCTTGGGATATTCCTGTTTCTATCTCCCAATGATGGAATTTCAGACACTTAAAGCCATGCCTGGAGTTGTGCATGGTTGTTAGAGATTAGAACTCAGGTCTTCATGCTTGCATAGCACGGAGCCATGTCCTTAGCCTCTCTATGTTATATTGGCAGGTTCTTTAGGGCCTCTAACTATCATGAGTCCGTTATTATTTTATCAAGCCTGTCTTATGTAGTTTTCTGACCCAGGAAGCATTAGGGAAAGTAACCATTTCAAATGAAAACTAAGCTGGGTACAGTGGCATGCACCTGTAACCCCAGCTTCTCAGGAGGCCGAGGCGGGGTGAGTATACGTTTGGGACTTGCCTGGGCAGCATAGTGAGACCCTGACTGAAAGTAGTTGTTCAGAGTTTCCTACAGTGAGTACTTTATGCCTGATTCTGTCCTGCTTTCTCAGTGGTTCTGAAATACATGCTTTCTTCCCTTCTCAATAGTTTGGAAACACAGAAAACTCTGGGGGGAAGAGGAAGCGAAGATTCATCTTGTAATCCCATTTTTTCAACACTTCCTGAAACCAACATTTTAAATGTAGTTAAGGTAAGGAAGACTTTATTATATATCTTTAGCAAAGAGTCAAAACCAGTTTTGTGGTTGCTTAAAATTCCACTGGTTTCTTTTCAAGTGAAAGGTCTTAACAATTATATTCCCATTGCAAATACATTTTTCTTTTAATATTAAGAGTAAACGGAAACTTCAAGTGAGAATTTCACTGTTAAAGTGTTACAGTATAATTTATTGACCAAGAAGTAATTGCAGTGTGAAGATAATTTTAGTGGCTGGATCCAATCACTAATAATACTGAAAATGGAGAAGGAAATACTTATCCTTTCATTTTACTATTTGTGTTGCATTTCTTACCTTTTCTAGACTTCTAATACTTGTTATCTGTGTGGTTTTTTTCTTTTAATTTTCTGATCTTTTGTCAAGAATATACTTTAAACTCTTGAGGTAATTTTCTTCTTTGTTCATTTCTGGCAGTTTCTAGGCTTGTGTACATCTATACATCCAGAAGGCTACCAAGATCGAGAAATAATGTTGTTAATTTTAATGCTATTTAAAATGAGTCTGGAAAAAGAGCTGAAACAGATTCCATTAGTAGACTTTCAAAGCCTCCTGATAAATCTTATGAAAAACATCAGAGATTGGAACACAAAGGTAACATTTCTTAAAAACTTAGGTGTTGTGCCAAGGATGGCCATGCATACCTGTAATTCTAGCATTTATGAATGAGTAAGGTAGGAGGTTAAAGAATAATGTCCTCTTCAGTTACACAGCGGCTGCAGGAGACCAGTCTACAGATAGAGTGTAAGAGTTGTAGAGCATAACGTTCCGTATGCACTCAGTTCAAAGTTCCCGCGCTCAAGAAGTTTAACCATGAAAGTAGCTGAGGAGGGCACTATGTGCTGGAACTCTGTTATTTAAACTAACTGGATTTTTTTTTTCTAAAAGTAGCTGTCTTCTCAACATTTATTAGGGATTTACTATGTCTGAGCCTTTAAAGGTTCTAGCAAGCCAGTACCTTTGCCCTTGTTGGGCTGTCTTACCTACCATTCATGCAGTTAGAGGCTGTGTAAAGAAATTCAGGCAGATGTCATAAAGTGACATTTCAGGTTGTAATCAAGTGTTGCAAATTAAGGTAAAGGGTGACCAGAGTGGCACGATTGGCACAGCTGAACTGCAGTGATGTCATCTGAGGCCTTCAAGGATGAGACGTCTTTCTGAAATGACCTTTGCGCATAAATGACATGATGTTATCCCTGCACCCGGGATTGAGTTATGTGTAAATAGCCATGTGGGAGCTGAGCATGGGTTATTTTATTAGTCCTTTTTATAGTCAAATTCTCAGCCATTTTTGGTAGAGGTTTTTAAACTGAAGTGGGAGGAGCATAATAAACTCCTGAATGCTGGGTCATGATGGCCCACATTCTTAATCACAGCAGAGGCAGGCAAATCTCTGTGATTTTGAGGCCAGACTGGTCTACAGAGCGAGTTTTAGGACAGTCAAGGCTACATAGAGAAACCCTATCTTGAAAATAACAACAAAAATAACTAAACTAAGCTTATTCCCATCCATGCTCATCAGATTATTTTGAAGCAACTGTCAGTTTTTAATATCATTATCATGATAAACAGCTAGAGAGCTAAAGTCATAGTTCAGTGGTTGGGTACATGACTAGACTAGCAAGTATAAGGCTGGACTACATAGCCAGAAAATAAAATTACTGTAATAGAATCAAGTGTGCAAGAATTTTCAGGTCTCGATTATCTATATGTGTGTGTGCTATACACACTTGGGGAAATTGATATTTGAATACTTCTTTCAAGAAAGACCATCAAATAAAAGTAAAGTGTAGCAACAACGTGAAAGTGACATGAAACGCTAGTGAATGTGTGACCATTCTAGAGTACTACTTTAAGAAAAAATAGAATTTTTTTATATATATGCATTTTAGTAGGTTTTAAATGGCGTGCGTTTTCATAATTCAGAGTTGTTTTAGTGACTTCCTTCAAGGCAAGAGGGTCTGTAGGTCTGATCCTGGGCTTGTTCTTTTTTTTGTTTTTTTTTTTTTTTCAGGTGCATGAACTCTGTGTGGGCATAAATGAACTATCTAGTCATCCGCACAACCTTCTGTGGTTGGTGCAGCTGGTCCCTAACTGGACATCTCGTGGAAGGTATTGAAAGTGAGATAAGCATCAAGATGTCTTATAATGCTGTAGAGTGCTTACCGCGAGGCAGGGCCTCACACTCAGTCCTCCCTCAGCCTTTCCTGAATGTTGCATGGCTAGGCCATCACACCCAACATAGGATTTCCATTTCTATTCATCAGTTTTGAATGTTCTTTGATTTTATTGAGGGAAAAGGTGTAGAAATCCTGATTATGTTACTTAATTCAGAACATGACTATCCTTGGTTTCTATTTTTAGCTTATCAGATAAGTCAGCACAGCACAGTGGTTCTCAACCTTCCTAACGCTGTGACACTTTAATACAGTTCTGCATGTTGTGGTGACCCCAACCATAAAATTATTTTCATCACTACTTCACAACTGCAGTTTTACTGTGGTTATGAATCATAAGGTACATATCTGTTGTGCAGGATATCTGATGTTACCCCTGTTAAAGGATCATTCGAACTACCACCGCCATCCCCACCCCGCTGCCAGGGGTTGAAAACCACTGACTGGTGTAGATGATGCATAACAAAAATAATTTGCTTTTTATAGAGGGTGAGGGGGTGCAACAAGGCTTCTCTGTGTATCCCGAACTGAGCTAACCTTGAACTCAGAGATCTGCTTATCTCTGCCTTCCTAGTGCTGGGATTAAGGGTGTGTACCACCACACTCAGCTTCCTTTTCTACTTTTATGAGACAGGTTCTTAGGAGCTTAGGCAGAGTGTGGAGCTCACTGCATGGGAAAAGATGATCTTCAACTTTGTATCATCCTGATGAGCACTAGGATTTCAGATGAGCCCTGGCATACCAGGGCTCAGTGCATGCTGGGTAGGCACTCTACCAAGTGAACTATTCCCAGCCCTAGGCAGTTCTAACTTGTTGTGCACATATCTTACATGAACACTGCTGCTCTGTAACGGTTGGTTGGTTCTGAGACAGCCTTGAGAGACTAAGGCTCCTTTTGGCTCATTTGCTTGCTTGTCATGTAGTATTATTTAAACACATTATAAAAACTTTTTATTTCTAATTCCAGGCAACTGAGGCAGTGCCTCAGTCTGGTGATTATTTCAAAGCTTTTGGATGAAAAACACGAAGATATCCCTAATGCCAATAATCTTCAGGTATAAATACACTTTTGTTCTAATAAATGGGAGAATTAGTGAGATGTTGGGAAATTTAATGAATCCTAAATCAGAAGTCCTAACCAGCTAGACATGGTGGCCCATGCCTTTAATCCCAGCACTGCAAGGCAAGAAATCTTGTCTCATCCAAAAAAAAAAAAGTCCTTCGTAAACTCAAACTTTCAAGCATGATATTGCTGATGTAATCTTTTGCATTGTACCTAATAAAAAAAATTCCTGCTCTTTCAACTTTCTTCTGAAAAGGGAGCTATTACCCTCCTCTCTCCACCCCCCTCTGTCTTCTCCCTACTCTTTCCCCTCCCTAACCCACTAAATAAACTCTATACCCCCCCACAAAAAGACCAAATTTATCAGCTGTAAAATGGATAATATATAGCCTCTACTCTATAAGACAATTATAGACAGATAAATTAATCTGTAAATAAACTCTTAAGAAAATCATAAATTGACTTCCTGTTGCCTTCTGATCAAAATGTAGCCAGCATCATGTCTGCCATGCTCCCTGCCATGATGATAATGAACTGAACCTCTGAAACTGTAAGCAAGCCACCCCAATTAAATGTTTTCCTGCTAAGAGTTGCTGTGGTCATGGTGTCTCTTCCCAACAATAGAAACCGTAGCTAAGACAAGGGCTACCCTTATTTTGAGTTTAAAAATACACAAAACTTTGGGTGCCCCTGTATTATTCTTATTTGCATTGCAATTTACTATAAGTTACTAGCTTAAGTCCTAGGAATAAATGAAAAATGAGACTGTACTCTGGAAGATAGTCTAGTGATATGAACCATTACGTGTAAGAGCAGTATTAGAACATGCACAAGATACTATCTAACAGAACCGACTGCTTCCCCAGTCAGGTAGAAGTGGATTTGATTGGAGATACATGGGCACCATCCTGAGCCCCTAAGATAACTAAAGTCCTCAGTCCATTCAGCAATATTTATAGCTACCAAGGGATCCTGGATAGGATTTGTCTTGCCTATCACCTTTTCGTTTTATATCTATCTAAAAGAGAACTGCATGAATAATTAACCATCAGGCTTACTACTTGATGTCATCCAGACCTCACTCACTGATAGCCCAGTTGGCCTTCAACTCCCAGTGATCCTCCTGCTTCAGCATCAAGTGTTGGGATTGTAAGCATGAACCACCACATTGAATAGATAGTGCTTCTTTTTTAGAATTCAATGACCTCTATTATTTATAATATCATTTGATCTTGTTCCAAACATTTAACCTAAATTACAGATAGTAAATCTTAATATAAAACACCTTCTTAAGCAATTGAGGACTTTCAAGTAAACAGAATTATGGGTATCATAGAATTACCAAGCCATGGGAGCTGGAGAGATGGCTCAGCAGTTAAGAGCATTGCCTGCTCTTCCAAAGGTCCTGAGTTCAATTCCCAGCAACCACATGGTGGCTCACAACCATCTGTAATGAGATCTGGTGCCCTCTTCTGGCATGCAGGCATACAAGCAGACAGAATATTGTATACATAATAAATATTTTTTTAAAAAAAATGAATTACCAAGCCAGGAAAAGGAGCCAGAATAACAGTGAATACACTTGGAATTAGCTCAAAAAAGAACACTGCACTAGAATTGACCAAGTCTTTCTTCCCTTAATAGATCTCAGTCCTACATCGCTATCTAGTGCAGATGAAGCCTTCTGATTTGTTGAAGAAAATGGTCTTAAAGAAAAGGGCTGAACAACCAAATGGAACAATTGATGACAGTCTTCATTTAGAACTTGAAAAGCAGGTATCCAGAGCTAGAGCTCAAAGAATGCATGGGGCATAGAGTAAACAATGTTTTATAGTTTATTGCTGTTGGAAAATTCTTCAGAGTAGAATTGAATGTTGTTAGTTATTTAACCTATACTGTGACAGTTGTAAGGTGGTTAAAAAGAAAAGGCACTTAATTTAGAAATCAGAAAGTTTGGTTTAAGTGCATGGCTTTTTCTTCCTCACAAAGTTAAATCCTGTCTTTCCTGGGAAGTTTGCTAATTGGTAGGCTGGGTAGTATTTATGCTACCTTTTTCATGAGTAATTTTAATTTTCTTCATCTCTCTCACAGGCATATTACCTGACCTATGTTCTACTTCATTTAGTTGGGGAAGTTAGTTGTTCTCATTCTTTTTCTTCTGGACAACGGGTAGGTAATATCCGGTGTTGTTATAAATAGGTATCCTATTGGTGAAACGAATGAGCATGTGTGTGTCAGAAGACAACTTGAAAGTTGACTGGTTTTGCTGTAGAAATCCGGAAGTCATAGCAACCTGCAACCAGATCATAGTGACAAAAATGATTTCTTAATAGTTGTTGGTTGGAGTAGAGCTTAGTGACCATGCCCTGGCAACAGTGTAATATATTCATGAGATACCAGGGTCACCATGTAGACTACCTTTTCGCTGGTTTCTTCTCACTTTCTTCCTCTGAACCTCCTCTGACTTTTATGTTCCTTTAGAAAAACTAGAATGCCTTTTTTTTTTTTTTTTTAAGAATGCCTTTTAAAATGGTTATTTAGAGGAACCCGGGAGATGCCTCAGTGATGTAAAGGTCCTTGTTGCCAGATTTGGCAACCTGAGCTCAATCCTCAGGCCCCACATGATGGAAAGAGAGAGCCAACTTATAAATTGCCACATGTACTCCATGGCACATGTACATGTACACAAGATTAATTTTTAAATATTATTTAGGAATTTTTGCCCGCCGAGTTAAAATTAAACTACTGTTTTTCATTCTACTTCAACTGTACATTTCTGAATTCTCTCTCCATATTAATTTCATTTTGGGGCTGGAGAGGTGACTCAGCAGTTAAGAGCACTGGCTGTTCTACAAGAAATCCTGAGTTAAAAAAAAAAAAAAGAAAGAAAAAGAAATCCTGAGTTCAAATCCCAGCAACTACATGGTGGCTCACAACCATCTGTATTGGGATCTGATGCCCTCTTCTGACCTTAAGACATCCCTGTATACACTTATACACATACACAAAATAATTTTTTTTGTTTCATTTTTGTGTTTTTGTTTTGTTTTTCAAGACAAGATTTCTTTGTATAGGCCTGGCTGTACTGGAACTCCTTCTGTAGACCAGGCTGGCCTTGAACTCACATAGATCTGCTGGCCTCTGTCTTTGCTGGGATTAAAGGTGTGTGATGCCACTGCCACAACCACCACCACTGCCCAACAAGAATTTTATTTTTGAGGCTAGGCATGGAAATGTACACCATTAATCCCAGCACTCCCAAGAGCCAGATTAAATACATGTGCTACTAGACCTACTATTTTGTGTGTTTTTAAACAGTGTCTCATATAGCCCAGTCTGCTCTCCAATTTTTGATATAGATGAGGGTAACCTTGAACTTTTTCTGATCCTCCTTCTGCCTCCCAAATGCTAGGTGTAAAGCCATGCACCACCTTTCCAGACAAGTAAATTTTTTGGAGTAGATAAATTTGACTCTCTATTAATAAAAGCCTGTGCTTACTGGCTATACTGGCTTGTGCCTATAATCCCAGAATTTTAGAGACTGAGAAAGGAGGATTACCCTGAGTTGTTGCCTGAGCTGTGTAGTGAGTTCCAGGCTAGCCTGTAGAGCAGTGGTTCTCAACTTTTCCTGCTACTCTAATACAGTTCCTAATGTTGTGATGATCCCCAACCACAAAATTATTTTAGTTGCTACTTCGTAACTAATTTTGCTACAGTTATGAATCATAATGTGAATATCTAATATTCAGGAAATCTAATATGTGATTCCTAAAGGGGGTCTCGGCTTACAGGTTGAAAAACTGTGACAGGTTGAGACCTTGTCTCAGGAGTGGGGGGGGGGGACCCACACCAAACCAGGCTTGATCTTTAATCCCAAGCAGAGGTAGGCAGTTCTCTATGAGTTTGAGGCCAGCCTGGTCTACATAATGAGTTCTAAACCAGCCAAGGCTATAGTGATGCCCTACAGAGGGGGGTGGGGAGAGCGCACACGCCCGTGCGCCAGGTGGTGATGGCGTACTTGGTGCATGCCTTTAATCAAAGTAGAAGTAGCAATGTCTGAGTTCAAGACTAACCTGATCTGTAGAGTTCCAGCATAGCCCTGGGGGGTGGGGTTGGACGACCAGAAGAAAAGCCCAAGTGTCACAGGCCTGTAATCCCATCTGCTCAGGAGGCTGAGGCACTGGGTAATAACAAATTCAAGCCCATCCTGGACAGCTTAGTAAGAAAGCTAGGAATGTAGCTCTTTCTAACTTGTTGGAGACAGCATGTTCAATCTCAAGTATTGGTGGGAGAAAGGAGGTTAGGCCAGATGTTCTGGCTCATCCTGGCTACTCAGGAGAATAGAGGATTGCTTGCACCCAAGGTTTCAAGGCCAGCCTGACTACCTCTCAGAAAACTAAAAGAGAATGCAGCTAAAAATCATGGACGAGACTGGCAAGGTGTTCTAGTGGTAAAGCGCTTCCTAATCAGGCCGAGTAACCCAAGTTCACTCCCCAGCATCCATATAAAGGGATGAGAGAAACAGCTCTACAGAGTTGTCTTCTGACCTCCACACATGCAGACACACATACTTAAACAATAAAGTTTTTTTAATTTTTAAAAAAGTTTCATTTTCACGTAGGTATATGTGCCTTCATGTAGGTATGCACACTTGAGTGCAGGTGCTCTTGGAGGCCAAAGACCCCGGATTTCTTGGAGCTACAGTTAACAGTTGTGAGATGCCTAATGTGGATACTAGGAGCCAAAACCTACTGAGCCATCCCTCCAAGCCTCATAAAGGGCAGAGAGGCAGGTATTTTAAGAGCCAAGAGTAGTGTCACATGCCTGTAATCAAAGTACTTTGCACTCAGAAGGTGGAGAAAAGTATTAGGAGTTAAATTGTGTGTGCATGAGTGTGCCAAAGCCCACATGGTAATCAGGGCTTGTTCCACCTTGTGGGTACTGAGGGTTAACTCAGGTCAGGCCTGGCAGTGAGAACTTTGCCCACTGAATGGTTCTAACAGGCCTGGTGTTTTCTAAGAGAAAGGATCTCATCGTTTTGTCTTGATGATCTTCAGCTAGTTCTCCTGCCTCAGCCTACCTAATAGCTAAAGCTGGTAAGAATTTCTGTGCCACACCTAGTTCTTTTGTATATTATTTTAATTCACTAGCAGTGAGTCATAACCATTATGTTCTTATGGAAGTCGACACCTTTCACTGATGGGACTCTTAAGTTTTAAGTGATTTGGGTTTTTTTTTTTTTAACTGCATAGTCTGTTATTTTGCAAGACTTTGGAATTGTTTTCATCTATTGCATTTGTTTTGTTTTACATAGCAACATTTCGTGCTGCTTTGTGGGGCTTTGGAAAAGCATGTTAAATGTGATATTAGGGAAGATGCAAGGCTTTTCTACAGAACTAAAGTAAGTATGTTATTTATGGAGGGTGTGGGGTGTGAGCGTGCATGTGACATGTGCACATGGGGATGTGTAAGGACAGTTATGAATGTCAGCCCTTGCCTTATTCCTTGTTTAAAACAGACTAGATGTCCTTGGAGCTCCCAGTTATCATAGACTGGTGCTGCTCCACCTGGCTTCCCCTTGACTCTGGGGATTAGAGCCCCAGTATTCAGGCTTACACAGCAGCCCCCTCTCTCTCTGTTTCCTGTTTTTGTGTGTTGTTGGCAGGACTACCACCTATAATCCTAGCACTTGGGAGACTAAGGCAGGAAAATCCAAGTCCCAGGCCTTGTACAACACAGTGAGGCCCTGTTGGAAGAAAAGAAAATGTAAGCAAGAGAAATACATAAACTTTTTAAAAGGAAAAAAAAAATCTAAGCACTTGTGGTTATAGCTTAGTGGTAGTATGCTTGAGCCACTTCATTGGATCCTCATATATGTCAAAGAACATAAAGGGAATTTTTTTTTTTTTGAGGAAGACATTTTAATTATATAGCTCAGGCTTACCTCAAGTTCTTTTGTTTTGTTGAAACAGAATCTCACTATGTAATCCTGACTGACCTAGACCTCATTGTGTAGACTAGGCTGTCCAATTATACATACCCACCTGTCTTTGCCTTCCAAGTGTTAATCACAAGCATCTGCTACTGTGTCTGGCTTTCCTCAAATTTTGGGGGATTTTTTTCCCCTTCATTTACTTCTTGGGTGGGAGTATACATACTCCAGTGTGTGTATATTGTATATAGGCCACAGGAGAACTTGTAGGAACTGGTCCTTTCCTTCTGCCACATGTATCCTGAGAACCAAACTCAGGTTGGTAAGCTTGGTGCCATGTACCTTCACCTACTAAATTATCTCACTAGCCAGATACCAAATGTTTGGTCCTTTTGCCTCAGCCTCTCTAGTACTTGGAATGTGGGTGTAATTATCACTCTGAGTTAGGACTTGAATAACAAAACAGCTTCTACTAAATACTTTTCTAGCTAGGTTCAAAATATAAGTTTTTTAAAAAAATTCTTAAAGCAAATGCATTTTTCACTTTGCTTTTTGTTCTGAAATTCCTGGCACCCAAAGAGAAAATTTCTTTGAGCACTGTTGGGACTTTGTGTTTATTGCCATTATATAGCCAATGTATAGTTGTGCTCAGGGAGTGGTAAGGTGCCTGCTGCGCAGTGTGAGGACCTGAGTTTGGGTCCCCAGTTCCTATGTGGTAGCACATATCTATAACCCTACTGCTGGGAGAGGGGGCAGTGGCAGAGACAAGTGAAGCCCCAGTGCTCACTGGTCAGCAGTCTAATTAGTCTGTAAACTCTGGGTCCAGTGAGTGACCTTGTCTCAAAAAATAAGATTGATGATGTCCTCCACATACACAAAACCTTATGTGCAGGATAGCTTCAAAGATTGCGGTAGTGTTTAAATGTATACATATGTATAATTACAAAACAGTGGTTATGAAATTCCATGATGGTGGGAAAGTCGTTTATAGAGGAGAACTAGAATAGCTGTTGCCTTTGGTGCCTCCCTGAACTTTGTTCTAGGAAGACTCCATTCCGAGTTCTGTATCACCTAACCCACATTGTCGGATGTAATTGATTCATCAGTGAGCTTATCTAGGTCTTTCTTGTCTTGTTTCTTAAAGTTTTTTATACACAAAGACGGTAGAAAATAAGTTTATGAGAATGAAGGAGAAAGGCAACTTTCATATTAATAGACTGACCTGAAACACAAAAGGTACTTTTAGAAATTTCTAAGGTTTTTTTTTTTTAATTTTTGTTTTTATAACTGACTTAAATTTTTGTTTTATAAAGTGGATTCCTTCTTGACCTATATCTGCATAGTGGATGGTGGCTGTTTTGGGGCTGGAGCTGGTTATTTGAACAGTGCTCGTTGGGATTGTGCGTGTGTGTGTGTGTTTTAGTGACTTTGAAGTAAGAATAAAGATGAGCAACTAATGAAGTTGAGTCAGATTTCCAAATACATTAGGTAGTAGTTTGTCCAGACTCGAGGCCTCAGTCTCAGAAGCGCACTCTGGAGTGTGACTAGTTGCTGACTTAGACATGTGGTGCTTGTGGCTGCTGCTAACAGACATTCTATAAGGAACCACTAAGGCTTATGATTCATTTCTTTTTTTTTTTCTTTATTACATTTTATTTCCTATTTGGGAGAGGGGTGTGTGTGCGCCACACTGCTCATGCGGGAGGGTTGTAGGACAACTTACAGGGTCCCAGGGATGGAACTCAGGCTACCAGACTTATATAGCAAGCACTTTTATCTACAGAGCAATTTCCCTGAACTGGGCTTTGTTTCTTAAAGTTGATCTCTCTTAGAGTAAGCCAGTGCTCCACGTAAATTGCTTCAGGGGACGATGTCATTGAAATAGGTTAGTAGTTCCATATTTCTCCAAAACTTGTTATAGAGAAGTGATAGTTGTCATAAATACAGTTTGCTAAACTTACATAATGAGGGAAAGTAGAGATTTTTATTTACTTTTTTTTTTTTTTTTTTTTTAAGACAAGGTTTCTCTGTGTATCCCTGGCTGTTCTGGAACTCGCTCTGTAGACTAGGTTGGCCTCGAACTCACAGAGATCCACCTGCCTCTGTCTCCTGATGCCTGCTTCTTCTTGACTTAAGGCCAGGAATGGTGGATCACTTCTTTAATCCTAATACTCAGGAGACAGAGATAACCAGATCTCAGTGAGTTCAAGGCCAACCTGGTCTACATAACCAGTTCTTGACCACCAGAGCTACATAGTGGAAAATCTCTCTCTCCCCACCCCCCAAAAAAATGCTGAATTGATTAAATATTTTTATTCTAGGTGTGGTGGAATATCCCTGTAATTTCAGCACTTGACAGGTGGAAGCAGGGGAAAAAAAAAAGGAAAAAACAATCAAAGTCAGCTATATAAGGGGTTTGAGGCCAGCCTGAAATACATGAGACCCTGCCTCAAAACATACACAGGGCTGGAGGGTGTTTTTCTCAAGCAATAAAAGTCTAAGAGATCCAGGCGTGGTCAATGGCCTTCACATTGCTGGTTTGGTAACCTGAAGCACTAGGGGGAGAGTCACTCAGTGGACACCTTTGGGTTTGACAGACTGGCTAAATCTGTGTGTAGCACTTACAAAGGGAGTGGCAGTGAGTTAGGATCTTCTGATTCCATGGAATGGAGCAAGTAACACATTAAAAACATTTTAGACATGTATAATTTTATGTGTGTTTTTCCTTGAATGTATGTCTGTGTGCTATAGTGTGCTATATTTGTGCCAGGCAATCAGAAGAGGACATTGAATTCCATCGATCAGAAGTTATAAATGGTTGTGAGCTACCATGTAGGTTCGAACTCAAACCTACGTTCTCCACAAGAATAACTGCTCTTAACTACTGAGCCATATCTCAACAAAGACTTTTTTTTTTTGATTGTCTTTCTGTCGAGCCTATTTTAGAAGCAAGCTATGGTAAAGCTGAAACAGTCAGTGCATTGGGCCCTATAAAATGGTCTACCCTTCAACTTCCCTAGCTGGGTGTTCAAAAGCCAGAGAATAGAAAGTAAAAATTTCTTTGATGGCAGCATTGTGATTCTTTGGACCATCTGGATTGTCCTTAGTAACAAGAAATTGGGCATGGTGGTGCATTGTTGTAATCTCTGTACATGGGAGACAGGGGCAGGAAAACTGCTTTAAATCTAAGGTTATCCAGGGCGAAATAGAGCAATCCTGTCTCCGAATAATAATTTTTAAAAAGGAAATTAAGGACTAGAGATGACTTAGTGGTTACGAGCACTAGGTGCTCTTTCAGAGGATCCAAATGAGATTTGCAGCACCCACGTGGCAACTCACAACCATCTGTATGTAATACTTCTACTTCAGGAGATCTGAAGCCCTTTTCTGGCTTTGGTGGCCAGTGAACAGATGTCCATGTAGGCAGAACACCCATACACATAAAATGAAAGAAAATGAAGACTGGGTGTTGTAGCTCACACCTAATCTTAGCACTCAGGAAACGGGAAGGTGGAGTTTGAGGCCAGCCTGGTCTACATAGGGAGTTCAGGACAGCCAAGATTATACAGAGAGACCCTGTCTCAAAAAAACAAGCACACAAGAAGATTAAGTCATAATTATTTGATGTTGTAGATTATGAGAAAATAAATTATGGTAATTTAAAAAAAATATGTCATTTGAAAGCCTCCGCAAAAGGTAAGTAGCCTTTTCTTGACAGCGATCAAATAGCATTGTTGGGTGCGGCCTGTGATAGTTAGGAGATATGTGTGCCTTTTATGTTTATTTTGGTTGTTATTATTTTGTTTCAGTTTTTTGAAGCAGGATCTCACACACTGTTCAGACTGGTCTTGGACTTTGAGCAGTCCCCCGAGCGCTGGGAGTGCAGCCATGCACCTCCATAGCAGAAAGCTACGAGGTGCTTTCTATCAAATGTTAAGTTGATTTTAAGTGAGGATACTCTGATCTGATATCTTTTCCCCTTTTTGTTGTTTTTAAGGTGAAAGACTTGGTTGCCAGGATACATGGAAAATGGCAGGAAATAATCCAGAACTGTCGGCCTACTCAGGTATCATTTTATTTAACAGTTTTATTGATTATGAAACCCACTGCGTGATACATGGTTTGTGTCTGATTTTTAGGGTTTGTTTGCACTCATTTAAGAGTGTCAGATTGCAGCAAATGGAGGTTATTTCATGAGTCTAACAGTTCTCTTAAGGTAAAATGCATGTTGTGCATTTCACCACTTAGTCTGTGGTGACTTTTGTAGCCACAGAATTGAAGATCAGCATCACACTTGAACTTCGGCAGTCCCTCCCAGTTCCTCCACCACCTTCATGCCTCTTTTTGCTCCCCTTAAGGGCTGATTTTACTTTCTGACTATTAAGAATTCTCTACAGGGGGCTGGAGAGATGGCTCAGAGGTTAAGAGCATTGCCTGCTCTTCCAAAGGTCCTGAGTTCAATTCCCAGCAACCACATGGTGGCTCACAACCAACTGTAATGGGGTCTGGTGCTCTCTTCTGGCCTGCAGGTATATACACAGACAGAATATTGTATACATAATAAATAAATAAATAAATATTGAAAAAAAAAAAGAATTCTCTACAGGTAGTAGTGGCCCACGACTTTAATCGCAGCACTTGGGAGGCATAGGCAGGATCACTGTGAGTTCGAGACCAGCCTGGACTATAGCGCGAGTTCCAGGAGAGCCAGAATTGTTAACACAGAGAAACCCTATCTCAAAAAAAACCAAAACAAAGCAAAAAAAAAAACAGAGCGGGGAGTGGTTAAGAGCACTGACTGCTCTCTTCCAGAGGACCTAGGTTCAATTCCCAGTACCCACATAGCAGCTCACAACTGTTGGTAATTACAGTTCCAGAGACTCTGACACTGTTATACCCATGCACATGAAATAGTTAAATAAATTTTTTAAAAAAGAATAATATTTCTCAATGGACGGTGGTGGCACACACTTTTAATTCCAGCACTCTGGAGGCAGAGGCAGATGGATCTCTATGAGACACCAACCTGCTCTATAGTGCAAGTTCCAGGACAGCCAAGACTACACAGAGAAACCATGTCTCAGAAAACTCAAAAAAGGGGGCTGGAGAGATGGCTCAGCGGTTAAGAGCATTGCCTGTTCTTCCAGAAGTCCTGAGTTCAATTCCCAGCAACCACATGGGTGGCTCACAGCCATCTGTAATGAGATCTGGTGCCCTCTTCTGGCCAGCAAGCATACAGACAGAACACTTTATACATAATAAATAAATAAATCTTAAAAAAGAAAACTCAAAAAAGAAAAGAAATATTTCCATGAACCTTTATATATAAGGTTTTATGTAAATATATGTTTAAAGGAAAACATCTTGAACATATTCTTGGTGGAATCTCTTTGTCTCACAACATTTCAGTGTTTGTATAGGGCTCAGGCTGCCCTTGAACTCTCTGTACAGACAAGGGTAACCTTGGTCTTCTGATCTTCATCTCTCTTCCTCCACTTCTAGGATTGCAGGTATACAGCACCACATCCTGTTAATTCTGAGCTGAGGATCAAATCTGGGGCATTATGCATGTTAGAAAGACTTCTGCCAAGTGCTGTGTGGGGTTTTTTGTTATTTTATTTTGTGTGTGTGGGTGTTTTGTCTTCATGTATGTCTGTATACCACTTCCTTGCCAGATAACTTTGGAGGCTAGGAAGTATCAGGTCTCCTGGGACTGGAATTACAGACAGTTGTGAGCTGCTAGTTTGGCGCTGGGAATCAAATCGAGGTCCTCTGGAAGAGTGGACAGTGTTGTTAACCACTGAGACATCTCTTCGGTTCCCTCAAATATTAAGGTCCTGTGCCAATGTGGCATTAATAGCAAAACTTTTTATTTGTAAATTTAACACTTTTAATCTCCTTAAATATGTCCTTTTGTGAGTGTGCCCATGAGAAAAATGTCCTATATTTGTATTATCCCTTTTTATTGCCAGAGTGTAAAGGTTATAAAATCATAAGAAATTTTCAATGGGCATGGTGGCTTTGTGCTTTTAGTCCCAGCACTTGAAAGAAGCATGCAAATCTCCGGGAGTTCAAGGCTGGCCAGAGCTAATAATATAAGACCCTGTCTCAAAACAAAAAAGATGTTTTCAGAGGCTTGTATATGTAATGATTTTTTTTCTGCTTTCATTATCAAAGCCTGCTGTTCAGTGATTAAAAATATTAATTAATAATCTGATTAAAATTTCCTTTTTCCCCCTTCCCCAGGGGCAGCTTCATGACTTCTGGGTGCCAGATTCTTAACAGGAGTACAGCAGCAGAAATACAAGGCGAGAAGGACCTTTCCAAGAGGGTTACTGTGGGATCCAGCAGATGCTATGGAACATAACAGTATGAAGAGGCTGGTAATGAAGACTTCGCCGTGTCTGAAGCAGATATGAAATGCCATCTGCAGCTTGACCTTAGAGGAAAGAACGGGGAGCCTATAAGAGAAGGGTAGGGGTAGACACAGCTGGTAGAAGAACCCAGCCTGCCCCTCCTAGCGCCCCTTGTTAAGTTTTCAGCAATTATCTTGGTAGGTGACTTCATAGCACTCAGACCATCACAGAAAATAAAGAGGAAAAGTGTGGGCCAACTTGAGGAGTTGGACATTGAAACGAAGGCCGGGGTCCAGCTGGTTTTCATTTTCCTTTTGGTTATTTTAGGATACAAAGGGAAAGCCTAGAATAGAGTTCTGTAATCAGAAGTCTGGGACCATAAACCATAGGCAGTTTCAGTTCATACATTGTCCCTTTACTAGTCAAGATTATAAATCTGAAGTCTTTAAATCTGTTTAAAGTCAGTTAAGGAACAGACATGCTGTCAGATTGCCTAGAGGAAGAGATAAGCTACAAAGTAGTAGCCGTTTTAAAAATGCCAGAACATTCATAGGCAGTTTGTTTAGGATTTCTTGTAAATGCATATATTTTTAAAATCTGATTTAATCATAAAATCTTAGCTAAGTCAGAATTCTGTCCATTGGTAACTATATTACAGAAGTCTCTGTATAAAGACTTAAAAAATCTGGAAGTTTCCAAAAACCTTGTTCCCACGAGTATAATTTAGCAGAGACCTTGATGATGTTTATTTTGGGGACACTGTGTATGTGTGTGTATGTGTGTGTTCGCTCGAGCGTTTGTATCTTGAAGTTGTTGCACTTGAAAACCACAGCTGCTCTAAATTCTTTTAAACACTGGAAAGCCATCCTCTAGTTTAGATGGTAGAGGTTAGAGCTGCACACGCTAGATTGAGCCTGAAGCCCTTTGAAACCTTTGGTAGTAACACTCTTGCAGCCCATTGGCTGTCTGGGGAGGGTTTGCTTGTTCTTTGAAAACTGGCTTGAGTGACTTGCTCCCCCCTGAGCATGCTAATGGCTATGTGGGTCCAGGTTGGGTTAGAAAGGGAACTGGGCTCAATGTTTATGCTTTGAGAGGAGAAAATAAATTCTGAGAGCTAACTTTCTACCTCTAAATTGAGGCTTAGGAATAAAACCATTTTATCTTAAATTTATCATTTAAAATAGCAGTAGCTTTTGAGCTCATGTCAAGCATTGGGCAGTTAGAGATCTTACAGGGAAGACTAAATCAAATTTTCAAGCTCTGAGGCTGATCAAGGCTCCAAGAGTCAGACCAACAAAAAGTTTTCTTCTGTGTTGAGTTTACTGGTAAGAATAGTATCTTGATGCTACCTCTCAAGGGTATTGTTACAAAATGCCACTATGGTTAAAGAGATAGATACAAAGAGTTGTATTTGACAGAAGCTTGAAACTCTGGCATCTATCTGCCCAACAATGGGGGCTTTCACTCTGTAATTTAATACCTTGTAGATACATTATTTGTGTGTAATTTTATAAGTGTTCATATTTTTCTCATTTTGCATTGTGTAAAGTGTACAAAAATCTCAAAATATAAAAATCTGCTTATATTGCTTGTAATTACAGTGTGTAAATATTTTCTATTGTGTACATTGACGGGGACAAGTGGGTTATTCAGGTTTTTAAGTGACCCTTTTATATTGCAATTTCAACTGATAACCACCCATCAAATTTAAAACCACTTTGATACATTCTTATTTAGCAGTTCCAATAAGAGTAAAATCTATTTTCAATTGTCTTTCTCCAATGAGAGAAAAATACTTTGTCCTTCCCTTTAAAATAAATGGCCAGACATCAGTTTAGGCCCTTGTATTCATGACTCTGGTAGCAACCTTCAGTCTCCAGGTCATAGTACAGTCAGTATTTGCATTTGGGTTCTCATAGAAATTTATGATTCTATTTTAGCACAAGTAGTTCATGGTTTTTTTTTCCCAAATCAAGTATTTTCCGTCCTTCTGAGTCCCCATGCTTTGTCTCCCTCCAGCTGTTGTTGCCCAAATAATGGGATGGTAGAGAGGGAGAAAATGCTCATTGCACAAAGACTGTCAGGCCACATTTGGTACTTGGCAAACAAAGCTTGCACTGAGTGGTGGTGTGTTTGGCAATCTTACTGTGCCAAAAATCACCTTGTCTAATTTTCTTGTTGTGTATGTCAAACTTATTACCCTTACTGCAAGCTGAAAATTAAAGTACTTGTGTTTATGCTTTTATGTGTAGCTGTTTGCCTTTTCTAACCTGCTTTTCTTGTTATCTGAAATACAGTTCTGTAATAACGTTACGTGAAGAGGCTTCGCGCACAAATCATCTCTGTAGCACTAAAGTCAGCATTTGTGCATTTTTTTGTCCTATCTCCTGATGGCAGTGGTGCCTTTGTCACCTTTTGGAAGGTTGGCATTTTGTTCTTGTTTTGAGTGCAAGTAGTAGCTTGCTTTTGACTTCACAAAAAATATATATATATATCCCCAGTAAGTGATAAGTAAGATAGTGTGTTACCATCCAGGCTCTGTTGAAGCATTTGGTTTTTTGTTTGTTTGGTTTTGGTTTTTTGTTTGTTTGTTTTCCCTCGATCAAAATAGAGTTGATGGGGACTGGCCAGTAATAATGTGTGGAGTCTTTAAACCAAGAGTAATTTTTTTACATTTTAAAAGTGATTCGTTGATAAGCAGCTGAGTTCAGAGAACTGACGTGGCTTGTCTCTCAGGAGGCAGCCAATCTCAATGGTGCAGGCAGGCACACCTCATCAGCTGTGTGTCGGTTGTCCTGGGGCATTCTTGCCAGCCAGTTCATCTACTAGCTCTTAGGCAGTAAATGCAATGTTTCCTCTCTTCCCCCTCCTTTCTTTGAGATTTTATACTATGTCTTGTTTAAAGTTCTCTAAATGTATGTGTATGTGTCATTAAAACTTTTTTTCTCAGTTTAAACGTGTCTGGTGACATTTGATTGAGGAGTGGAGGTGACAGTATCTGGAATGTTCTGTCTTAAGCTGGTGTCTTCCCTAATTTGGGTTCTACAGGGTTTTTTTTTTTTTAGCTTGATACTGCTTTATCTGTAGAAAACAAAACCACAACTGTCCACAGTTCATGTTTACATCACCCAATTAATAACTTGATGTGTACTTTACAGTCAGGAATTTAATAATCTCATTCTGACCTCATTCTGCACATTCATTCGACTGTTACTGAGAACCTACATGTTAGGGTTTGGTGGTGAGCAATACAAACTCCTCTTACCTGCTGGTGTCTGAGGAAAACAGACAGAAGAGGAAAGAAGTACCCTGACCTGGGTGTGGTGTTCTAGAGCCCAGGGTAAAGAAAGGTGATTTGACAGTCTAGAAGGATTTGGAGCCACCTGTGCCCTAGCAGACAGACAACTTATGATATGCCAGCTGTGGGAAAGCTGACACCTCATAAGAGAAACTTATGACCTCATAGAAGGCCAAGTCATTGCTGCCTTGGCTGTAGTGTCACAGCCATGCAGTATGTCCTCCCTTATGGTAGACAAGGTTGAGAATGGATGGTGACAGCCCAGGTAGAAGCAGGTGTGGGCATAAATACTAGGAGATAGGCCTGTAGTTTAAGGAAAGGACCTAAGCTTGGCCTCAGACCTCAGTTCACCACACTGGCCTTTGTTAGCAAGTTACCTGAGTTTCTTCAACCTGTTGAAAAGAATAACTGTTTTGGGTTTGTGAGGACTCGGATGCATGGCAGTCGCTCAGCACAAAGTCTGGCACGCAGCATGGACAAATGGACCTTAACTGCTATTAACTTACCTCTTAGGGGGCTCTGTAAGAGAACAAAGTTGAGCCAGGCGGTGGTGGTGCACGCCTTTAATCCCAGCATCCAGGAGGCAGAGGCAGGCAGATCTCTGTGAGTTCGAGGCCAGCCTGCTCTACAGAGTGAGTTCCAGGACAGCTAGAACTGTTATGCAGACAGAGCCTGTCTCAAAAGAAAAGAAAATTAGAAAAACGTGGTGTCCCTGGAGAAGATAGTTCAGTAGTTAATGTGACTGCTCTTCCAGAGAATCCGGGTTCAATTCCCATCCTTATGATGACTAACAACTGTAACTCCTATGCCTTCTTCTAACCTTTATGGACACCAGGCATGAACTTACTGCTCAGTTACACGTGTAGGGAAAACACCCACACACATAAAATATTAACTAATTAATTTTAAAAATAAAAGTGGCCAGAACCAGGTACCTGAGGCTGTGCTTGCTTCTAAATCAGACCTTAACTCCAGCAGTCACAGCTGGGGTGCTGCTCCTTCACACTGGAAATTCTAAAGGCTCCCATCCCTGTTCCTGCTGCCAGACATAAGAATGTGATTTCTTGTTAAGTAAACCAAGCATGTTGGCCTGGTGCTATAGTTCATGCCTAAAATCCCAGCACATGGGAGGCAGAGGCAGAAGGATCACAAATTTGAGGCCATCCTGGGCTACAGCGTGAGGCTGATGGTGGAGAGTGGACTTCCAGCATCTGCAGACATGTCCTGACACACCTTTCTTGCTAACCATGGCTGGAGTCATGGGAGGCCAAACCAGAAGACCAGCTTTGGATCTGACTCCAAGACAAGTGGCTAGGATTCTAGAAAACGTAACAGGCCAAACAGGCTTCTGGGGCACGGGAAGACTACATACAGCATTGTTGCACAGGTGCCAGTGCTACTGAGGCTGTAGCCAAAAGATCATTAAGGAAAGCGCTGGCAACCAGAGGTAGAGATGGCAGCACAGGAGCAAAGGTGCCAGGTGAGCAAGAGGCAGGAGGACATCTTGACTAGGCCAGAGTTTCAATTCATATGCTGCATCTTCCCAGACACAAGAGTTCACTTCTGTGTGCCAGCCCTGGAGCCCTGAGGTGGCTATGGGACACCAGCCTCATTCTATCTTACAATAGAGCTGGGAAGGCAGTCTAGCCTAGTCTAATCTAGTTGGTTTGTGTTCTCTGAAGAATTCCAAATGGCATCTTCACATAGCTGCCCTATGAAACTGCCAGCAGTGACTTCAAGGATATTACTGTATTAGAACTGTTTTTTATTTGTTTTGATTTGGCACAAATCTTATAGCCCAGGCTATATTATATATTATATAAATTGTTATATAGCTGAGGATAACCTTGAACTAATCCTCTTGCCTCCACTGCCAAGATCAAAGGCGTGTTCAACAAACCTGTTTCAATTAGTGCCAATTTGCTTAGATTTCAAGTCATCTATTCACAGTCAAGAATTTGCCCACTTTCATTTGCAGATGTGGGGATATTTTGTTTGTGTCTTAACAAATAAAGCTTGCTTGAATATCAGAGTGCAGAACTAAGCCACTAGAGGCCTGGCAGTGGGGGGCACACACCTTTAATCCCAGGACAGATGGATCTCTGTTAGTTCAAGGCCACTCTGGGCTACACAAAATTGATCCAGTCTAAATAAGAAACAGAGCACACACAAAGGTGATCCCAGCACTTGGGATCCCACACCTTTACTCCCAGCACTAGGGAGGTGGAGACAGGAGTGATATGGCTGAGCAAAGAGGAATATAAGCCAGGAGGAGACAGGAGTTCAGTGCAGTCTGAGAACAGGATTGCCCCTTTGGTCTGATCATTGGTAGAGGTAAGAACTCTCTGGTGGCTGATTGCCAGGGCTACACAGAGAAACCCTGTTTCAAAAAACCTAAATAAATAAAGGTGAAAAGGTGCAAGAACAGGCTAGCTGTGGTGGCACATGCATGCCTTCGATCTGGAGGCAGAGGCAGGTGGATCTCTTGAGTTCAAGGTCAGCAGATTAAGTTCTAGGACAGCCAGGGGGCTACACAAAGAAATTCTCAAAAATACAACAACAACAACAACAAAAAAAAAAACTGCAAGATTCTACATCAGCCATCACAACTTACTCAGAGCTCAGTGCTGTGTCTAGTGAGCATGCCTTAGCTCTAGAATCCTGACTGGGTCTCAGAGATGGAATGAAGAAAAGATGCACCAGGCGGTGATAGCACACACCTTTAATCCCAGCACTTGGAAGGCAGAGGCAGGTGGATCTCTGTGAGTTCGAGGCCAGCCTGGTCTACAAGAACTAGTTCCAGGACAGGCTCCAAAGCTTCAGAGAAACCTTGTCTCAAGAAAAAAGAAAGAAAGAAAAAAAAAGATACGTACTCATATAGAAAAGCTGGAATTGTGTGGAGTGTGCTCACGCTGATGGAACAGCACCCTAGCCACCAACAACTGGACCCCCAGTGAATTTATTTTGTACAGCACAGGGGGGAATAAACTCATCTCAGTAGGGGTCTCTATTGGGGAGCAAACTCGGGTTGCTCATCCAGGAGGAGGAAGCTGCAGTTGCTGGTTTTTGCACACACTGGTCAGTTGTTCTTTTTTGTTTTTTTCTTTAAATATTTATTTATTTTGTATACAATATTCTGTCTACATGTATGCCTGCAGGCCAGAAGAGGGCATCAGATCTCATTACAGATGGTTGTGAGCCACCGTGTGGTTGCTGGGAATTGAACTCAGGACCTTTGGAAGAGCAGGCAATGCTCTTAACCTCTGAGCCATCTCTCCAGCCCTGGTCAGTTGTTCTTAAACACTCTTAGTTGCATACACCATCATCTTGCACACACTGTTGTACTTGCACAAACTCCCAACATCTACACTGGACCTCCTGAAGGCTCAGGCCAGGCAGAGGCCTGAGGTACTGGGGCCCCTGATGTGACCATGCCCATGTCAAACAATATACATTCACTCAAGACTTCATCTGTACTTTGCATGTTTGCTGAAGGCTTTCGCAGCTCACTACAGCTCAGTGAGCTGCAGAACCTGCCACACTGGCCTACTTGCCTCCTTCTGAGGGGTGTGGAGTCAGCATCGCATGTGAAGTTGGGGAGCCAGGCTTCTTAACCTACTGGTCCCTGCAGTTTCTTTAGTGTCAGGTACTAGGGTTGGCAGTCTTCTGTCTTTTTCTTCCTTCCGACCCACTTCCCACAAAGTCTACTGTTTCGATCTGTACTGGATCTGTCAGCTCTTCTGAAGTCTTTCCAAGCTATTAGCTGACTTCTCCCCCTCTATCTTCCACTAAGAATACTCCCGTATCACCAAATGAAACACGCTAGCCTTTCGTATGCCCCTTCTTTTCTTCCTATTCTACCCTAACAAGTCTGTCTGTTCTAGCCATTTTCCCCAGGCTTGCCTGGCTAAAACCCTTCTCAGACTCCTCCAATCCTGTCCTCCATCAGCTCAACATATTTTGAGGCAAGTTACAATCTGCTTCAAACCTGTTTTCCCAGCTATAAAACGAAGCTACTGACTCCTCACAATGGGATGGGGGTATAGAAAAAGAAGGGAATCAGGACAGTCTGTAAAGCATGGGCTTGGCTTGGGCAGGCAATATAGCCCAGCAGATAAAAGGGGTCTGTCACCAAGCCTGACAGCCTCTGAGCCTGATACCCAACCCCACATGATAGAGACTGCCTGCAATTTATCCTCTGGACTACTACACATGCCTGCATTCATGCATGCTTGCATACACAAAATAAATATAAGAAATGTTTGAAAGTGTGTGCACTTTTGAATATGAGCGTATCTCCCAGTCTCCCCCGCTGCACCCCACACACAGTAAGTATCCTGTTTGCAGAGTGCCAGGAGACATTCTGACGGGGTGGAAGTGTGATCTGGGCCCTTCTGTCTAGCAGTCTGCAGTCACACACAGTCCAGACTCTGAGATTTTATGGATTGGGTGCCAAACTGTATGAGCTTTGGGGAATCCTGGAAGAGGAATGAAGTTTCTTCTTAGGCTCTCATCAGTTTAATATGCCACTAGAAGCGTACTCAAACATCTAGGTACATGCAAGAGTCTTTAGGCTTATTTTTCGTGCTCTTTGCCCATCACAATGTTGTCATGGATTTGGGGAGGGGGTGTAGGGTTCATAGCCAGAGCTCAGGTTT